GAACATTAAATTTCTATTACTATTAATCTATTAACACTAAAATATTTAGTCTTTATTAATAATATAATATTAAACCTAATTAAACTAAGGCTTATATAATAATAAGATCTTAAGAAGTTCTAAGCTTAGTTTATAGTTATAATTATTCTATAACTTATATTAAGAGAACTTCTTAGTTTACTAATCCTAGTAAAAGGTATTATTCTTATCTTATTATTTTTCTTCTTTCTTTTATATCTTATAGGCTTTTTTCTTTAATTAGGTTTACTTAGTACTTACTTATAAAAAGATTATTTATATAAAAGGTTTATTTAGTTATATTATATTATTATAGCTAGTTATTTATTTCTTTATTTTTTTAAAAAATCTTACTTTTCTTAGGTCTTATTTATTATAGTTTCTTAAAATTAAGTTTACTTTTATGTCTAAGACTAAGTCTAATTAGGTTAAAGATATTGTTTCCTTTATATCTTTTTAATAATATATTTTATTAGTTAAAGCTATTTTTAAGGTACTAATATTAGATTTATTATATAATTAAAATAAAAAAATAAAAAGATTAGTGGTTTAATTCCGCTATAAGGCACCATTAAAACTGCATAAGATAAAGGAAGCTAGTAAGTAGACAGTTAACACACAAACTACACTAAACACTAAAGTCTTAGTATTATTATAAGTATATTTAGAGTAACTGATTACCCTAAGTGACTACCTTAACGCCTAGACCATGAGATACTACTCTTTTCAGGTCCTCCTTAGCCTGATCAGGGCCACAAGCAAACCAGAAAAGTGTATCCTTTATGTCTTGTAGTCTGTTTAGATTTGCCCTTATTGCTAAGTAGTATGTATATGTATGTTGTGATCTCTAGAGGAGGATACCCTCCTAGACCTTAGAGGTCTAGTCAGGCCTAAGGAAACAAAGTAATAGTCACTTATTACACGTGTTATTTAGATATCAAAGTAATGAATTTATCTATGTTTATCTAAATGCCTATCTAAAGATGTTAAGCTTGTCTGTTTACCTTGTCCTGATATCCTGATCTCTGTAATAGTATCTGACTAAAGTTCCCTTTTGTACTTAGAAGGGTTCTGCTTAGTCACGTCTGATCAGGCCTGTGATTATGTCTGTAGGCTAATAAAAGGAAAAATGAAAACGCGAAACCCTGCCCCTTTCTAATAGTAATAACTAAGATTTAGAAGCTTAAGTAGATAAATACCTAGAAGGTAATAAACTAAAGTAAAGTTACTTAGAAACTGATTTTCTTAAAGTAGATCTTCTTATATAAGATAAACTAAAATAGTCTTTTTAACTATTATAAAGTATAAATCTATATAAAGGGTAATATATAAGAAAAGTATTCTTTTAAATAAATATATATAGTAATATTTATAGTATAAACTTTTTATGTTATAATAGCTATTATAGCTAAATTTAACCTTAAAATATACTAATTCAATATAGTTAATATGTTTTTAAATACTAAGAAAGGACTAAATGAACTACTTATTATATATTTTCTTCTAAATAGCTTTAAAATACTAAACAAAATCATTAAATTATAGTATATACTTTATAGTCTTAAAGATATACTTCTCCTTTAGTATAAGGAACTTTTAAGTACCTTATATTATCTTAGAATAAAGGCTATAAGTAAAGACTTATATCTTTTTTAGACCTTAAATAAAAAGATACTTCTCTTTTTTTATATTAATAATATCCTTATATTTTATTATAAGTCTTATATAAAAGATATAAAGAAGATTATAAAAGAAATCTAAATAATATATAAGGTAAAAGACTAGGGCTTAGCTAAATAATATCTAGGTATATAGATTTTATATAACTAGTTAAAGTAAAAGATTTATTTAGCTTATAACTAATATATTAAGCAAATTACTAAAAGATTTAACTTTATTAACTTAAGGGTATTAACTACCCTATTACTAATAATTATACTTAAAAAGAATAACCTTTAAGTAACCTTAGCTAATATAAAGCGTTTCTAGAAAAAGGTTAGATTAATCCTTTATACTATAATAATAATTTAACTTAATATTATATTTATATATGTTCTGCTTTCATAATTCCTAATAAACTTCTTATATATCTACTAATAGGTAATAAACTAAGTTATTAAATACTTATATTATACTTAGTACTTAGTAATATGCTTTAATACCTTAAAGGGTATATAAGTACTACTAATTATAAGTAATACTTTATTTATAGATAATAATAAGACATAAAGATTATCTTAAGAATATATTATTTTGCTTTTTAGAGGTCTAATTTAGTAAAAGGCTACTTAATAAAATACTATTATAACGTTAATAACTAAAGCTAAGCTTCTTAGCCTTAAGTATATTATAAAAGAAACTATTACTCTTAAGCGTCTTTTCTAAAACATATAACTTAAGCTTAGTAATATATAGAAGATTAATTATAATAATAATTAAACTTTTTACCTTATTATAGGTAAAAGTAATTAAATTTTAATCTACTTATAGTATATTAATATTTAGAATATATAGCTTTAATAAAAATATAATAAACGTTTATTTAATGTTATATATATATTAATAAATAATATATTAGTAAATAGTTTTACTAAGAACCTTACTAAAACAAAATTTAAGTACTTTAAAACGCTTTTTAACTTATAAGATATATAAATAAAGATTATATATACTAAAAAAGAAGTATTAGTAGAAGAAGAATACTTATAAGCTATTTAAAATTACTATTTATAGCCTATAAGCCTCTACTCTTAGTAGAAGCCTAAGAAAGAAGTTTTTTTAATACTATTAACCCCTTAGAAGTATTATATACTAGTCTATAAGGAGCTAGTATATAAGTATAGTTAATATAGGTATTAACTAACTAATAAGGCTATTAATTATAGCCTAAATAGTATTTATTTAACCCTTATTTATAATAATAATAGCTATACTAAAAGCAAGACTATTAAATAAAGCTAGACTAATTAACGTGTTTTTACTAAGTAGTACTAGTATTACTTTACTACACTTTTATATATTATACTAAATATCCTTTTAAAAAAAGGTCTATTTAAATATAATATAGCTTTATAATACACTAATTACTTAACTAAGGACTTATAAAAATAATTAAAACTAAATAAATAAATATTATATATAGAAATATATATTTAAAGCTATATTATTACGTTTTATAACTAAGAACTCCTAAGCTAAATAATAAAACTTAGAACCCTTAATAATTATAATATAAAAGGTCTTATTAAGTATATAATACTAGCACTTAAAGGTCTAGTTATTACTTACTAGTATATATTAACTTAAAAAGTTATTGTATAATGCGCTCTAAACATACTATAGGTACTTAAAGTCTCTTTAGAAGGTAAGCTCTAAGGTCTTAGTATATACCTCCTCCTCCTTCTCCTTATCCTCCTCCTCCTCCTTCACCTCCTCCCTTAGCATAAACCTAAAGGTAGTTATCTCTATTTAATAGAATTAGTAAAAAGTTTAAGTTAAATAAAGAGAGTATAACATACTAGCTAGCTACTAATCACAAAAGGCCCTTAGGACTACATTAAAGCAGGCTTAGGCACCAGGGAAAGGAAACAACTTTAAATTATCTTTATCCTTACCTACAGCACCTACAGAGAGGTTAGCTAGAAGAGGAGGCTATAAGCCGTCCTCTTCAATATTAACCTCTCTGCCACTATAGCCTCTAGCAAAAGAAATCTACTCTTACACATTAATACTACTTAAGATATAAAAAACCTAAATAAAAGATAAATATATAAAAAAAAAAGAAACTATAAGCTAGTTACTAAGAGAATTAAAGGAACTACTACTTTTCTTATTACCCTTATATACTTTATTATACTTTTTAAGTTAAGCTATATACGTTATAGTAATATAAGTATATATAGTAACCTTTTTATTAAATTTTAAAGGTATTTATTCTTAAACATTAATATTATATAAAGAGCCTATAATATAAATAAATATATATATATATAATAAAAATAATAATATTTTAAATATATAGTTATTATTATTATAAAAAAAAAAAAAAAAAAACTTTTTTACTAAACTAAAAAAAATTAATATTATTAAAAAAGATAAATACTTAACTTAATAATTAATTAATTAATTAAAAGCTATTAATTTAATTAAATTATTTAAAGGTAATAAAAAAAGAAAAAGTAATTTTTTTATTATTAATAACTAAATATAATATTATATAACTATTTCTTTTATATTTATTACTTTAAAAGTAAATATTTATATTTTTATTTATTCTTTTAAAGTAATTCTTTTATATATAGCTATTATTAGACATATAATAGTTAAAATCTATTGATCTGCCTAAGGGGGTATGTTGCAATACTCTTATACGCATTACGTAGCCTTGTGAGATTTATGCTAGGCCTAGATTAACTATTAGTCTAGTCCCTTCGTGCAGATCCACCACATAGGATACATATTTATTCGTTTCAGACAAGGCAATCCTGCACATAGAAATCTAAGCCGTTTTCCTTATGTCTTTTCCACCCTAAGTGGTGACTCTATGACAATACTCCTTTTCTGTAACTATGTCATCGAGCGGACTCTTTGGTAACCCGGGTTCGTTCTTAAGCCTGCCCTCGAGTAGAAAATACGATGTTTTGACTCTGCTCAATCTTGAAACCTACCGTTGATTGCATGTAGTGCGGTCCGTCGCCAGTAAATCAGGAAACCATAGCGGTAAGCCGATCTTGGAAGAGTTCATCTGCACCCTGTGTCTTGGTGTTGGGCAATGGAGGGGGTGACGCGGACTTTTGGCGCCCCACTGTATCTCATGCGAGCCAGGTAGTGACATGCATTAGCGAATCTTCAGTGGGCATGTCCGCTAATTTAAGCCCTTGTCAGTGATCTCCTCCTTGCGTACTACTCACGCGCAAACCTCGCAGAAACACTATCACCATCTGACGCGGTCTTGCGGCGCCCGAAACGATGAGCGCGTCCACATGTCCCCTAACGCGCCCGACACATCGACGAACCTAGCTGAGGTAGCATTCGCCGATGCCGCCGAACCTTTCGTCCCAAAGCCCCTGATCAACGACCTCCTGCGCACGCGCTACTGCATCCCGGGGTCCATCTTCCTTGTCGAAGACATCGAGTCGCTCCCCGTCCCGCGGTCGAAACGATGGCGCGCCGTGAGGCTGATGCTCGGTGACGGTGAGCTCTGTGTACAGGCGTTGCTTCGCGGGGAGATGCATCGCTTCCTCGATTCGGGAGCTGTGAGGGTTGGGTGCTACGTGCGCTTGGGGGAGTTCGCTGTTCGCTTCCAGGATGTTGCGGGCGATGGCGATCATTCTGGAGGGGCGCGGCAGATGGTTTACTTGGTTGTCAACGATCTGGTCACTGTCGGGTGGCACAGGTCTTTGACGGAGATCAACGCGATGCCCCAAAGAGCGCAGGAACACGCGGCAGAGGACGATTTCGTCTCGGACAGCGACTTGGATGTCGGCGACGTCGAGGCAGCCAAACCGCCTCCTCAAACACAAATTCCTAGACCGAATACATTGCCACAAGCGACACCGAAGCTACAGCCTCGAGAGCTAGTTATGGTGGATGATGAAGACGAAGAAGACGACGCAGAAGAAGGCTTCGAGGTTATGCAAGTGTCGGAAACCAAGGCGACACAGCTGAGAGCTCAGTCGAAGAACATGACAGCAACTGTCGCTCTCCCACGTGACTGGACAGACCCCAGCATCCCGCTGAAGTTGACAGCTCTGCGATCCATTCCGAATCTGCCCTACAAACAGAACTGGTCCGTTAACGTCCTCGCCATCGTGACGTCCCTCTCCGATGTCGAGCCTTCCCACATGCCTCCGCACACCCAGCGGACGGCGCGACTAGCTGATCCCAGCACCAGCAAACAAGTCATCCTGACCGTCTTTCTTGACGCGGAAGAGTTCAACCCCAAAATTGGCAGCGTCGTGCTCCTCGTCGGAGTCAAGAACCACCGATTCGACGGCGGGTGCCTGAAAAAATATGTCAGCGACAAGCCTAAGCCGGGGCCCGGTGGTGGTTTGAGGAGCCGCGACAGTTCGATTGGTGCGACGTGGATGGGCTAAAGCAGTGGTGGGAGCGGCCGCATGAGCAAGGGACGGCTCTTGATAACGCATGACTCGAGAGGAACACGGTTACCGCGTATAATCGACCTCCGAACAGCATGTGTATAAAGTTCAACAAGGTCAAAAGCCTTGGTACTGGTTTCAATTACTATGAACACAGCCTTGTCAGATGGGAATCGCGAGCTGAAAACTTGGGACCGTTACGAGTGTGCTCAATATGAAGCAACTTCAAAAATAAACCCCCAACTTGCCAATTACCAGCCAAGAAGTGATTCTTCGTTCTGTCTAATTCACCCCCCACGCGCCTAGCACGTTCCGTCCACCTCCGTTAGTTTCCATGCCGCTCTGCGTCTCAAGCCGTTTTACCCGATTTACAAGCAGCCCGACACAGATCGGACCGATGACGGTGCATAGGGTAATGGCCCACGTCACGATTAGAAACATCTCGGAGGGTTGATCGGGGCACCCGTTCCGCCGCCGAAAATGCCGGTGCTCTCGGCCAACGCCGAGATCAGGTAGCCAATCTCACCACGTGCGATCATTGCGAAACCGAGGATGCAGGCCGGGTATACAGAGACGGGCATTTTAGGCTCCGGAGATGCGTTCCTCGGAGGATTACCGGCTTGTATAGAGTTGAGAGGCCAGAGAGGCACCTCTCCGGCCTGGCCATTCTGCCCGAGATGCTGTTGCCCTCGCTGTGGCTGTGTATCGTCGTCATTCGGGGGCGCATCCATCCCAGTCCCCGCGCACTGCGCTCCAGGAGCAAGCTTCTTAGACTGCTTCTTGCCCGCGCCGGAAATCCTTTTGGTGACCCGCTGCACCGCTTGAAGGGGACTTGCAAAGGACAGCAGCCACACGCCGCAGAGCATCTTGCCTAACATCATCAGTATGGTGTACACGACTCCACGCCACAGGATAGGACCAGAAAACAATCTCGTGATGGGGACAGAGAAACCGATGGATGCCTGAGATAGTTAGCACATGCCAATGCATCAATATTCAGCCGATGTCCAAAAACAAACTTACGAAGAAGAATGGTTTCAGAACATGCTCGACGGCTTTGCCGTAGTACCGGTCATAAATCTCCATACCCGAGTTGTAGGTGTCTGGATCGCCGACACCCGGGGTTGAAGCGGCCGCTGCTGAAGTTGCGGCACTCGCCTCTGCGGATAAGTCGGGCTTCACCGCTTTCTGATGGGCTGTCACAGAGGAAGGCCCTGCTATAGGAGCCTTCTTGTCGTCGGCGCGAGCTTCAAGGTGAGGCACCTCACTATCCCACCAACTGATGGTCGCACCGGCAACGTACGCGGCAAGCAAGCTCGAGGTTCCAGCAAATGCTCCTCCAACTACCAGCCCAAACAGCCAACACGTATGAATGACAAGTGCAGTCTGCCGTAACCGCATGAGTTGATCTAGTCTCGAACCGGGGCTCTTCTCACGAATCGCATTCAACCGAAGCGTAATCGGCCCCACGGCAAATTTACATACCGCCGGCAGTAGCGCCGCGAAACCTAACGAAACAAGGACCGGCCGGACCACTGTGACGGCGTTGAAGTCGTTGCCGCCGCCGAGGTTCGAGACGACTTGGACCATGATCAGCCCGATAACGTCGTCCATCATGGCTGCGCTGGTCAATACGACGCCCATACGTGTCGTCGTCAGACCGCTAGTGCCGAGGACTGTAAAGGTGGTACCCAAGCTAGTTGAGCAGAGCGCGGCGCCGGCGGCAAAGGCCTGCAGCGGGGTCGCGCCGACCATGGAGCTGAGCGTGAAGGAGAGGCCGATGGGGATGGCGATGCCAGTCACGGCGACGCCGATGGAGAGAAGTAGGTTTGCTTTGAGAGACTTGAACGATGTGGAGAGGCCACCTGCGTACTGTTAGCAGGGACGCACTGTTGAAACAACATATGATTGGTCTCACCTTCAAAGACGATCAAGATCAAGCCAAGGTAGCCGAGCTGCACGATCGAGTGCTCCATCTCTTCAGACAGCCACTTGGCACCGGGCGTGCCCCAAGCGATACCGAGAAACACCTGTCCAATAAGACCACAGTATACGAGCTTGTCGAGGCCATAGTTTACGCTGTTGAGAAGTAGGAGGAAGCCGGAGAGGACGATGACTGTGGTGATAGCAGGCTCATGGTAAGCCAGCGAGGATTCGGACGTCGCCATTTGGACGCATTAGAGCGAGCGTACCTCTGCGTTCGCGAATTTTCAGAAGACAGCAAATTCTCCACAAAGTTCTGCCAGTGCTACTGCCGATTAGCAGTTGGCTCATCAATATATGAGGAGGTTTTGTTGATCATAATAAGTCAGAGGCATAATAGATTTGATGCAACTCTTGGCGACAATGACTCCGTGGGCGCTCGGGCCAAGCTAGGGTCCCAGCGAGAGGACCCCTGCACTGGGGCGGTAGGCGCCGTGCCTTGTTTGAGTCCATAGAAAAAAGATTTTTTAGACAACATGACAGCCTATTGATAACCCCCTTCATTACAACACGGCCTTTTGTGTAAAGCTTTTCTACTTTTTGAGTCAAATTATAATGCAATTGAACAAGAAGTGTAGAGACAGTGTGATGATTTCAAACCCAAATATCAATCTTGCATTGTGCGACGCCTGCTTCAATTTTGTTATTTCCCGTGCGAATCTTAACGTAGTTGTGTGGTTGAGGAAGGTTTTCCAGCAAGGCGTGGACACAACGGCACGGCGATGCCAGAGAGCTCATCTGGCACTTCAGAACGCCATCCGGGAGTTGTCTGACGTCTTCCCTAAAGAAGACGTGAAAGACAGATTGATCGAGTTTGTTTGCCTGCGATCGTTTACTTCACCACCTATCTCAGTTTCCGACTTCATCACCCATGTGTTTGACGACAACTCCCAGATGATCTGAGACGCCACGACACGGCATCACAAAAGCATTTGCGTCTATAGTTATGACATCTCCATAACTCATAAACGATCTAGAACGCCATAACATTACATTATAAAACCGGTTGCGTTCAGAATTATTATAAGTTATCGCCTTTATCGTTACGGTCAGCATGATCATTTTGCTTTTATCACAGTAGTCTTGCTTTTATCATAGTCGTCTTGCTTTATCGCTAATAGTATCTACTCGGGGAACTGATATGCGAAACTTGGCTCTTAGTGTGGTTAACTGGTTGATCCTGTGCTTAGCACAAAGAGGCACACCTGAGCCTGTCGACTATTATAACCGTAAGAGCACGCCTAACATAATCACTTCATGATGAGTTGCATGAAGATAATGGTTCTGATATTTTACAACAGCAGGATCAGCAGGATTGGGCGGATATGGATTTTCACCGGAAAAGCGAGGATGGTGCGGAAAATGGTGGGGAAGCACGGAACGAGGGCGTTCCCTTGTCCGAAGGGCCCCGGCAACTGTCAGGTATGCCTCAGGCACACCAAGGACACCATATATACAACCACACCACTGCAGAATAGATAGAGAATACGTCCAACTTCCAACCCACATGCAAGACCCCAAGGTGCGCATGTATCACAGTTGGTAGCACAACAAATACGCTGATCTGAAGACTTATATCAACGAAGGAGGCACATATCATAAAAGTTGCATGTCACAGACTAGACCGCTGCGCAGCGAATCTGCTTAGAATGTATGAGAAGAACAAACAAATAAAGAGACCACAGCTGCTACCGTCGCCTTTCAAACCTTGTTTGGTCAATAGTCGTCTCTAAAGGTACCTCCTGTCACGATAGCCTGATCAATTATAGAAATTCTGCTACGACCTCACCGCTGCTTCGCTCAGTAAGCTGCTTAACAAGCGAGCCACTCGTGGTTGTCAACCATAGACAACACAAACCACCTTCAACCCAGCGAGTCCAGTATCTAACCAACAAACCTTCGTAATGTCTTCATATTATCTTACGGTCATTACGAGTAACAGCGCAATTTCGGGTGAAAATACCGGATAATAAGCTCAGACAAATAAGTGCCACAGAATCATCCATTTGAAAACAAGTATCTGAAGTGCGATTGTGATATAAGTAGATTGGAAGGAAGAATAGCTATGCAAAAGAAACAGGAGCTTCTATTCATCTGAAGCAGCGAACTACACCATGAAAACGCTACGCCAAACCATAGATGCCACGCACACCTTGTGTTAGTCCAAGAGATCGTTGTCATCAGTAGGCTTCGTCCCTGGACCTTGGTGAACCATCTGACCAACAGTCCAAGTATCGAATCGGTCCCAGTCAATACATTTATGATTGGTGGTTAAATCAAAAAATGGTACGGGGTTGTGTCGGGTCCAATGGAAGGTGTAAATGTTGAGGTCAGGGGCACACATCAAGTGTTGGCGGAGTACATCGATGCAATGATCTAACACCGAACCTTAACAAATGATCCCAAAAACTGTCATAAGGATGACTTACCTTTGTGTTCAGTACGCTCTTCAAGTGGCTCTTGGAGCATGTCAAAGTCTATTTTGCCATAGTAGTCCATGTACGTATACATTCTGATGTAGTTCTGGAGGATGTCAGCTTTTAGTTCTCTATAAATCCATAACCCTCATCATAGACTTACCAAACAGTGCAGCTGGTGAAAAGCTTCTAGTCCAGCTTGATATGTTTGAGTGCCAGGCCATCTGACCGCAGCCTTGGACTTGTTTGCACGAACCAGGGTTTCATGATCAACCGCGAAGTTGCGTACTGAATAGTTGATATTCTGGGTCAGTTGTGTGCCGGAAGTTTTCAATAGATCAAGAAGGCTTACGTTCTGCGAGATGATACCATCTTTTGTCTAAGTCTGGGTTTGGTTTTCCCATATATTCTGAAGGAGGAGTAACAAAATGAGGATCAAACGTGTACGGAACGTATCGAATTTGGTCTTTCAAGTCATCTGCCAAGTCGAAGACGCCTGATTAGAATGTTTGGCCCAAACGACAGTAATGCGAATGAGGAGGTCTTACGCCATGCCGTATCAATATGACCGTTATAGGGAGGTTTTGGAGAGAGTATCCATCCCAGGAAGAAGGCAAGCAGAAAAGCCACAAGCAGAAGTCCACTGTACAAAACCACGCAGAGTCTTGATTGCCGTTGCTGAGGTTCCTGACATAGAGGAGGATGCAACATCTGCTCATTCTCGTCTTTGAGGTCGATATCCCCGGTGGGCAACAAAACCGTGTGCGGTTCTCCAGCCAACGGAGAATATCTTTGAGTCTTAAAACGGTCCATTTGTGACGAAGAAGGTCTCAGGTATCGTGGATGATGAAAGGAGGTTCAAGAGTTACTTGCTCCTTTCCAAGGGGAATTGGATTTCGAAAGATAATCTACCAAACCTGGAGCGGGTGAATTCCGGGTCAATTGGGATCTTATCAGCTGCATTCTCACTATTTTTCCCATCAAAGAGGAGTCTGATGGGGTACGATATGCAACGATTGCAGCTGAAAGCTTTGCAGCGGGTAAATGCTACTATAGGAAGGTGAGAAAAATATTACCAGTATGATTGTTGGTTCCTGCCGGAGGCGAGATACAATGATTGTTGGTTCTGTACCAGAGCAGGAATACAACGATTGTTGGTTCTGCACCGGAGCGGGGTCAGTGTGGCTGGATGTGCCTGTGGGAACCTATTCATTCCATATTTACATGGTAGACGCCGACCTCGGCTAGCTTTTCTGGTAAGCCGGATTCATTGTAATCGGTGGAACCAAAAGCTTGTCGTGTCTGCAACATTCAGCCGTTTGCACGACACCCCTGTGGTGTCGGGTTAATCAAGGACAATTACCATGTCCTCCTTCCTTTCCTAGCAGCCAAACAACGATGATGGCCAGTTAGGTTACAATAACCGGCTGCTATCCGGTTGGTCAGATAATACGGCCTTTCTTCCTTTTATCGTATCCCAATGGTGCATGACAGGGTCTCTTCATTCTTCTTCTGTTACCAAACACCATCCGCCAAGACCTTGGCGACCTTGACGACGACTTCCCACATCCACGGCTGTGGTTTCTGTCCTTCAGAGATATTTATTCGGAAACTCGCATTCAATCCACATCACCAGCAGGATATACAACACCGGAATCGTTACACCTTCGTCCGCGTAGAATACAGTTTCTTTAATCCAGCCGGCTGTCTTTAGCTAAAGCCCTGATGCCACGATATTCACTTATCGCTGCTGAAGGCAGTTCCAACAGTCACAACAGAACCACGGCCACCCCAAAAAATCCTCAAATCCGCGCTATTTTCTACGCATCTACCTTGCTGGTTATTTTCACATTTACCACCTATATCTACCTTTCATATTCCGCCTCACTATCGCCGCAACTGGAACTCCCCAAAACAACATCATGTGGTGTAACACCTACTCAGGCACGCTCTAATGGCTGCTACTTCGATGTTACGTCATTCTCATGGCTACCATCAGCCTGTTACGATGATTTGCTGGTTGCCGATTTTCTCGCCTTGGAACCTTGGGAATGGTTTCTGGATCCATTAGGCACCCAGCCAGTGCCTTTGGAAATAGTTGAGAGAGGAGAAGTAGCGCAGATGTACGTGTCTTGGCGTTACCATATGGCTCATTGCGTTTTCATGTGGCAGAAAATGCACAGAGCTTTGGAACAAGGCCGAGAAATTGACTCATACATCGGAAACTATAATCATACAAGTCACTGTAGTCACATGCTACTAATGACGGGGAACACAACAAACATCACTTTGAACACTATCATCAGAAGGAAGTATGTTGGATGTGGAGTCAATGAGGTCGCTATCATGTAACAGTAAACGTTATAATGTTCACAGGAAAACATGAATTTAAGATGGATTCACAGATAAAAGTTGTCGTTTCGAACAAATGTCTTCCCCAGACTATAGAATAACAAAGAAAAACATGCAAAATGACAAATCCGTTGATGAGCACAGGAGTTTGTCCATGTGGGCTATGTCATTAGGGAATGAGGGCTGTGCACTAATTTGTGCAACTATTTTATTTGTACCGAGTGCTGCACTACGGGCTCGCCAGCCAGTCGTTGTTGTATGTGCTTCTGCTACTGCTGGTGCTTTGTGACGAATAAGAAGTATAATTTGCGCAGCTATACTAGCACAGGTCGACTAGCAAAACTCAGGGACAGACGTTGATATTATGTTCGACTAAATGGCAATGTCACCTTAAGACAATCTACGTACATTCATATATTTCAAGAGGAATATTCAGTATCATTTTTGATAGCCGTATATTGCTGCAAGTCAAACTTCTTTTACATGCCATGATTCCAAAAATATTGACATAAGAACAATAGCATTTCCATACAAAGAAAGTCCTACAAAGCCCACTGTCCTAAACCTCCCTCAATCTATCCCAAAGTATCTTCGACATAAATGGTTCTGTCAAAATGCTTGACTTGGTTTTCCTTTGCCCAATTTCTAATGTCCTCATAATTGCGGCATGTGTGTGCGATCTCTGCCACTGCCTTGGCCTCATGATCGTCCTCCCGCCAAGTCCAAGGAACAGGGGTTACATCGGCTGAACACATCAAGGATTGCCGGAGGGCATCAATACAGTGCTCAATATGTTCCATCCCCATCAGTTCATCCTCCGATGCGTAGGTCTCGGTTGACCAGAGACGCTTTCGTATAGTGTTCTATGTATCTTTGTTAGTTGAAATTAACACAAAGAGAAGTACCTAATACTTACGAGGCAATGCAATTGGTGGAATACATTCAACGAGACAACGTAGTACCCTTCGTCATTAGGAATGGGAACGGTCTTGTTCACCAGCTGCGTAGCCGCTGATCTTGGAATGCGACTAACACCGACTATAATGAAACATCAGTTGAAGAGGATTAACCTTAATCAGTGAGCGCGAAAGACATTACAGTTATATAGATCATCCCACAAAGCGTCACGTTCTGGAGTGGGTGGTCCTTGAAACTTTGTTCTTCCCGTGCCAAACCCGCCTGTAAACACAACGTTCTTATATCTAAGAAGATGATTCACAGGAGCTATGATCAAATTACTCAAGGCTCTTCACTACTCAGAGAGAATTGGAACTTACAGTATACCTCCGCTCCGTTTTGCGGAATTCTTTGGCGCAGTTGCTTATGTTCGTGAAGCGCCGCAGCAAATAGAGTGACAACGAGGACCCATTGGAATATGACCAAAAGCAGCCAACGTCGACACATTCGTTTTGAGTTGGGTTTCTTTCCTGGCAGGAATGGCTCTTCATCTTCAGATTTTGTCATGAGTAAGATTCTGAGCTTTTGAAGCATTATGTCAAAAAGATAAACCGTAACGGAATTTCAATGAAAGATTATCCAGAAATCCTCGAAAAAAGATGATTGATTTGAAATGTAGAGAGCTAAAGCTTGAGAAATAAAAAGAATGAAGAAAGCTAGCCCCAGCGTTGCTTTGTCATTGGCATATTCTGATCTTGCTTATCAAGCATGAGCACTATACAAGAGATCCTAAACAGGGAGGAGACTTGCTAACATGCAAAGTCCTGTTGGTCGGCGAAAAGTCAACAGAATATACCCAGATACTACATCTGATAGGCATTTTTGACCGAATCACCTGTGCTTTCTGGACACATTCTCAGTCCGATTACATGGATCTGTTAAAGTCCTCGTATTCGGTTACTTGTGGGTTACAATCCCCTTTTACCCATCTACGCAATCTAAAAAGAAGATCGTGGTTCTTGAGGGATGCAACCTCCTAGTCTTTCACGATATCCTGCAATGCAGTAAGACCAATAGACTCCTTCCTATCTAGTTATCTACATGCAGAGAAAAGATTTTACAGAGAGATATGACCCCGGGGGGTATGGAAGTTCCATTCACGATTGGTAAGAGTTCCGAATTATCTCCTTTTCTGGCCAACTGATGACTCCGGATAGATACGTCTAGCCACCGGTTCGGCTCTTCCGGTTTTCAGGCGGTCAGGAATACCGATAACCCCATTTCTGCCCGAGCAAAGGTTCTCAATACATGCAGACCAGCAGTCAAGGTCCTGCAATATGCAGTTGGTCACAAATGTCGATATTCTCCTTCCTGTCTAAGTACTGTGCCCTTTTCCCCTTGCAAGACAATGTCTGTTGGCTGATGGGTCGGTGTCCCACTTTTGTTCATCAATCAACTAAGCTCCTGGTTATATTTTGTCGCGACCACCCCATGTTCTTCACATCAGTCAGTCATGATAGTTAATTCCGACAGCAATGTAATCATAGTGTTAAAGCAGAATTACAGTAGCGATATTAAATCGCAGTAGAGATCTAATGATCTGGTGAAGAAAGCTAGCTAAATCGGCGCCGTATATGGCGAAAGATGGACACTGCTCTGCTAGGAACCGACCATCATTATGATAACAACACTTCCTCTGTCTGGTCAATCTGTTGGATTGTACGTAAATCGTGAGTTTTTGCGTGCTTCTAGGTGTGGATCTAAGAACCAACTTCACAGTGCAGTTCCCGCGTAGGAGCTTGGTGGGCAGGCCAGGGGCCTGAGTCACGTATCATCCCCTGTATGCGCGAATGCAGGCCAGGAATAGTTCTGCGCCACCTTTATCCGGTTATCTGATTATAGAATCCAGATAAAGACGCAAAGTCAGGGCACGTGAGGGCATCAACAGGTCGCCTAAAACATGCTGGACGCGTGGTGCATTAGCGTGCTGTCCGTTGGGAAACCAACAGTACCTTCCGAAAGCAGAATGAATCAGAATCGCATCAAAACACTTTCCCTGTGAACCGCTCAGGTCGTCCCCGCATCAGACGCCCTCCAAAGTAAGTAACAGAAATGAAATGAAGAGAAAGCACCTAATCCAGACTCTTGATGAGTACACAAAATCTTCTATAAGAAACCCACGACCAGCAGACACAAAGAACCTTTTTTACCATTCAGCAACGCGAGCTACCGGCACCATATCTTGAATTTATCTACACCAAGAATTTCTCCTCCCTGCTCATCTCACCCTCGAAAATGAAAAACTTGTCCCTGCTTATTTGCTCGTTGCTAGTAGCCTCTACCACTGCAGCTCCTGTACTGAAACAGGTGAACAATGCCGAGGTATAAAGCAGTTTCTTGTTTTAAGTTGCTGAAGCCTCTCGCTGACTTCCTTGGAAGGCTCTTGCCCAAGTGGTTGAATCTCGACAGCCTTTATCTGCCACCGGCCATGAGGAGCACATCAAACGTGATGTCGACGTTACTGTTGACGGCAAGCCCGTCCATATTGAGGGAGGATACATCAGAGACACCGATCTCCACCGACTTGGCTGGGACGTTGAAGACCGTGGCGGTCTGAAAAAGCGCCAGGTTGATGTCGACGGCATCGCGTTGAGAAGTGGGTGGAGTTACATCAAACAGCGCAACGATAAGCGCCAGGTTGATGTCGACGGCATCGCGTTGAGAAGTGGGTGGAGTTACATCAAACAGCGCAACGATAAGCGCCAGGTTGATGTCGACGGCATCGCGTTGAGAAGCGGGTGGAGTTACATCAAACAGCGCAACGATAAGCGCCAGGTTGATGTCGACGGCATCGCGTTGAGAAGTGGGTGGAGTTACATCAAACCACGCAGCGAAAAGCGTGAGGTCGATGTCAATGGCATTGCGCTGAGAAGTGGGTAGAGTTACATTTGAGAACTCATCAAGCTGCTGGTCTGTGACCAGCAGCATGTCACACCTCTATGTTGACTTACAAGTTCTGAGTTGGGCTTTGTCTGTGTTCTTAAACTCGAACAACACCACACTCTCCCTCCCAGACCACCCGCTCAAAGAACCCCGCCCTGCTTCATAGGTTACTTTTTACAGGGGTTACATCCGATTACTCGCTCAAATTCTCATAGCATTCATTCATTAGTTAGCCAACTCATTCACTCGCTTATTACTCCTCATGAACTTCAAGGGCCTGATCGACCATTCCAGTAGGATTCGAATTCCGGTCAAGATAACTGAAATTGTGACCTTTTGATTAGCTAACTCCTGTAAGGTAGAAGACTGAGGGCTGACAGTCGGAGTCTAAGTGCTAGCATGTATTAATGCTGCCGAAGATTCATTGAACTGCAGTTAATAGTCCAGTATCGTTATGGAATTTGGCTAGGACCCCATAACGATACTGAGGTTGAGCCTGAGTTTTGTCTAGGAAAGCAAGCTTCCAGTAAGGACTTTAGTTAACATTATCGTTTTGGAACAGCAAAATGGCAATAACTAAGGAGGGAAAAAGTAAGTGTCAGATAACACAAGAGTTCTGCGAGTTCAAACTGTAGCCATGATGTACCTGCCCAAGTTCAGCCTACTGTGACATGAACAGAGTTTTCTGGTACTTATGGCTGGTGTTAACTGGAATCCGACTTTGAAAACGACCCTTACTGGAGTTGTCGATGAGGCTTTAAGAGTGGGAAAAGTCAACTGCAGGGAGTGGATGAATGGATGAAGTCAAAATGGCTTTTCTAAATACCCTTCTTAAACATCGAACAGACTTATCCAGCCAGGTGTATTAACAAAGATGAAGCAACAAATGCCAACCAGGCCAAAATACAGCATGCTAAAACCAAAGCCAAACCCCAAGGCTAGGCCTGCTGCTAAGTCTCGTAATGCCCGGTCACGGTGCGCATCCAATTCTAGCATCCTGCACAAGCCTTCGAGGCATTGTAACCCTGCCGCCCGAGTCACTTTCTCCAAGTCTTCTCAGAACACCGTCTTCTTGTCTAGACTGCACGGTGCTCCTCAAAGAGGTTCACGCTTCGCCTCTGCTTCTTACCCTTCTTACCGCTCCCACCGGAGGCCGGAGGGGCCGGGGCCGCAGTGCCGTTGTTGGCCGGTGGGATGGCGCCGCCGCGGTTGATGCAAGAGTTGTTGTCCGGTGCCGCGACGTTAATAGGAACCTGAAGCACCTGACCGACCACGATAAAGTCTGGGTCCTGAATCTTGTTGAGCTTGGCAATGTCGCAGATGCCCGAGTTGAAGAGTTTCGCGATCTGGCCTAGGGTGTCGCCCTTGACAACGGTGAGCGTTATAGTGCGATTGGCGTCGTTGAGAGTGGTGCCGACGGAGGCGCTTGTCAGTGGGGAAGGTGGCGTGGTGGCCTGTCTCCTTGTAGGAGGCTCCTCAGAATGGGCTGCCTCAGAGCGGGATAAGAACATGTGCGAGAGGCCACGGGTGACGAGGCCTCGCGTCTCGGTCTGGGAATCCGTGTTGGCTATGGGGTTGGCCTGGGCGACACTGGCGAGGCCGGCCAGTGCGAGGTAAATGATCGGGGCGCGCATACTGACGGTTCTCGTTGACAGGCTGAGTCGGTATCGATGAAGCTTTGACACGTTGTTCGTTGGGCTGAATGAGTGAAAGGACCGGTGACAAAAGAGAGTTATCGAGTCACCGAAGATGGGATACCGGGGATATATGTCGACGGCAAGAACGTCTCATGCAAGGAAGACGGTTGTTCAAGAACGAATGGCGTGGTCCTGGGAAGCAAGTGAGTCAGTCCCCCTTCCCTTGTCTGTAAAGACATCTTTATAGCACTCACATAGATCTCTTCTCTGGCCTTATCAATAAGTCGCCGGACGGGCTTAGCAGCCTGGATCTGTCAACTGGCGCGCCAAGATGCGATTGGCCGCAACCTTGGGAGTTCGAGGTTCGGGCTGCCCATCTCAGCGACGTCCCAAGGCCAGATCCACCTTGTTGTACCAGCTTGACAGACACTAAGCCCTGCAGCGCCTGCTTGACTGACCAAACCCAACCCTCCGGTAAAAGTGGGCGCTAGCGGGTGGTGGAGATCGTGGCATCGTGGTGAGGTGGTAATGCAAGTGAAGGCTGACGCACACAAACATGGCATGCTACCCCTCGCCGAGGCCGAAGACAGTGGTAGCTAAAAGCTAAAATTATGGAGATCAAGAGTTGCGCGTCGCAGCAAGACGGATAGGCTGAAACGAGTAGCACCGGCTAGCGCGGGGTTTCACTCGTTGACATTCGTGGGTAGCCGCCAGTTGAGTCAAACTCTTTTTCTTGAGCGTTGTTGATTTGTGTGCTCTGCTTCAGAGTGGGCAGGGGAAAGCTGCCGAAGGTGGAACAGATGGACCCAGCCACTTGAGACGGACCGTAACCGTTCCCAGACGATTTCTCGCATATCTTCCAAACTCTGTCCTGCGGAACAATGTAGAGAGTTTGCAACACAACTCTCTCCTTGACTCAAGCTTTTCCGTCTTCAAATACTGCGAGGCGCCAACGCAATGCTTGGCATAACCTCACTTGGCACACAAGTTACTCGAATCCCCGGTCAACACACGATCGCTGTACCGTCTTCTCAGGATGCGATGCCTGTCTTTCGATAGCAATGGTGTAAACCGATCAGCGGCTCTCCCTGCTTGGCATCTATTCTTCCATGAGCCTTCCGTGCTAAAGAACTTGGGCGGTTCCATTTATTCCAATGCATAGCCACTCAAGAAACAGGATGATGTGCGAAATGAACAGATGAACAGTACCGAGTGCCTGGTCACACACTAGAACCAAGTCCGATCCTCGCAGGGAACACGTCTTACAAACTTTAAACCTCTAAGCCACCCAACATGAATGTCACAGATGGTGACCGCATATTTTCTCTCGAATGGTCATCACTGGGCCATGGATGGCTTCACCTCCAGGTATCCAGTTTGCTGAAACTCGTCATATCACCAGGAGCTGCGACAAAAGGCTTTACTTTCTGCAATCTCGGCGTCTGGAAATTTGTGCTTCCAGTTTGAAAACCGGCAATTTTATTTGTGAAAGACCTGGCCGAATGTCCGGTCCAATAGTTCGCGGTCTCTTGCCGTCTTGATGAAACGGAAGCTCAACACTGCTTCGACAATTGAGGCATCGAACATGCCCTGCGAAAGTCTATCATCTGCAGAAAAATGCTTCAGGCTCTAACCAGTTGGGTTTACGTTGCATTTTTTCAAGACTGGGCAAAGAGGCCAATTTCCTAGGATCCTGGCGACTTCATGGTTGGGACTTGAGAACCCTATTCGTCTGAGGAAACATTCCACTTAATCTCATTAACTGCCACAAAGCAGAGACACTCCCTGGTATATCGTTATAAGCTGACTGGACAAGAGGTAGGTATATACATGGCCCTCGGTTCAACTGTGAGGGTTCTCTCATTGATACATTGATACAGGGACATGCTTCTTGGCAGCCTGGCTCCCCAAAACTAACAGACGTTGAATATACCTGCTAGGTAAGCTTGATTGAGGATATCTTGGCTGTTTTCATCGTGGCCAGTTCCAGTAGTATGTGAGGTTTGATCAATGTTGATAAAGTCATTCCTCTGTTCCACCTGACTTGCAATATGAGCATCATCGCACATATCGATCCAGCAATCTTGTGTAAGCTCGGCACTGCTAGGTACCGACATTATTGCCGTGAGTCCACTAGAAAAAGTCATTGATGGCTCGGCAACAAGGGTATCAACGAGCCAAAACCGACTCAACTTTCGAGTATAACCAAGCAAATTCGCCACCTGTCGCTATGAGCTACGTACTTTAAAAAGTCAAAAACTCACTAGCCGGGTGAGGGACATATTTTATCTATGCGTGAACGTCACGATCCATTTCAGAACCATGTGGTGGAAGGTCGAAGACTGGCCGATACTAAGACGAACAAATAACCAAGATTTTGTAGACGGGCCAAAGGCTTTGTCCAGTCGGATTCTTCAATCTGTTCCGATGTCCACTTCGTGATACTCCATGAACTCAGCCATGGTCTTTTCCACCATGGGTTCCGCTCGAAACTCGTTTCCTATGCTTCGCAACTTGGCCGCTAGCTGCTCATTCGGCTCCCACCCCAGTAACAACGTCACCAGCTGGCGTGTCACGCCGCGGTTGCAGTTCGGACAAATCAACCTCGGCGGATGTTTCTGGGCACTCTTGCATGGTGCGAAGTATGCTATACAAAACCAGCCGGGCTCACCGTCGACGTGGTCTTCGAGCTGGAAGTTGAACGCAGCTGATGTGAGCTTGGGCATCGTTGAGAGTGCGTCCGCGTAGACTTCAACAAACGGTGTGAGTGCGGCGTCGTCTGCTTTGCCTCTGAAGACGTGAACCGGATTTAGGAATGCGTAGCTTGCCTCCTCAAGGAAACTGAATTCTTCCATATGGAGGTCCGAGTGGGCGTTATTGTTTTGTGGCCAATACGTGTACAATGGTTGTGTGGGGACATCATCACGTTTGGTGAAGTACCAGCCACCCGACGGTGTCGCGGTGAATAAGTTGATGTCGAGAAACCTGAGATTTGGCCAAGAGGTTGTACTTAGATGTTTGAGGGGACGGAGAAGAGAATCATCGAAGACGCCCGTGACCTTAAGATTTACGAGATTCTGCGAGAATTCACAAATCGCAGAGCTGAGCGGGTCTGGTACGTCTGTCTCGTGCAGGACAGGTGGCTGAGCTCTTTCATTTCTCTGCCTTCGGAGAAAGAAATCAAAGTCGGCCTTAGTCAATGCTGGTAATGACAGCTCCTTAATGGCTTGGGCGACTTCATTACGGTGGCGTACGCGAATATCCGGGAACCGCTTCTCGTCGTCGTCCATGCTGAGTTTGATTGATTCGAGGCTGGGCATCTTGGATGCAATGATGATAGGCACCTTTGGAGAGGTGTTTCGATGTCCGTACCTGTCTTCCGGCCGTAGCATTACAAGCTGCTTCACTCTGTGAAGAGTTGGTAAGGTTTCTGGGTCTAGAAGTTCGATGTACGAGTGCAAATATCTCCCCTCGTATATGCTATCGTGGTCTGGGTAACTCTCACCCCAAGGGGCGTACTTGGATGGCCATGGGTTGTCTGAATGTGATTTGGGATGATTTATGAAAAGTGCCAAGCGACATGCGACTGTCTTCGGGTCTTGCGTCTCCCAGCTATGAAGTGTCCGGAATAATGCTGCTATACACCGATTATAACTCTCATTGTTGGCAGCCCTATCTTCTGGTGATTCCGCTCGCCGGGTAGCTGCTACATCATAAGACGGAAGGAGTATGGTGACGGTCAAGCTGGCTAGATAGTATCGCCTCAGAGGCGTGATTATCTCGTTGAATCTGGGGAACTCGTCGCTGGCGATTTTGATAGACTTGAACGTCAATCTCTCCACTGCGACTTGTAGACGATGTGAGACAGTAGCTATGGGTGCCAAGGGTGGAGTGGGTCGCTCGCGTTTCTCATAAGGTGTCTTTGGCTTAGAGTCTTTGGGCAATAAATAAGAGACGATTTCGTCGATTATATCTTGAGGAAGGGATTCCATGATTTGGTTGACCTAGGATGACGAGGAACTGATAGGTGCGCAGAAAGTAAACAAGACGATACGTTGAGCCCCTCATCGATTTGGGTTCAAGGTTTCTTAGATAGCCGCCCGCGCATCCTTCAGACCAATCATGGAGGCCTTCATGAAGACTAGACTTTTTCCGGCTAGCACTGTATGACGAAGTCTTGGCGGTCAATAGAAAAGCGTGTGATGAAATGCAATGAAATTTAGTACGTAGACGTTGTAGTCAACACAAATGAAGCGTTACCGTGCATTTCCTTCCAAAAAGACTAAAGAAACCAAAATCGTTCCATGCCACTCACATTCAAACGCATCACGACATCCCGCAAGACGTGAGACTGAGGTTATAAATAGGTCAAAGCCAAAAACTAGTTCTCAAATGTAGTGTCAGAATGTTACTTTCAGCAGAAGTATGGGTTACTCAACTATCATTTCGTTCAGAAACTGATTCTGGCCGATCCGTAATGGCGGTCTGGGTTCTAGCTCAACTACTTGGCAACATCGAATGGTCGTGGCTCATGATGAGTACCCGTCTTGGGAACATTTGTTGAAAACTCACCTTGCTGGGAGAGGGCTCGGATGATTTTAGTCACGATGCCCAGTGATCACCCTGAGCTTTTATGGTCTCTTTGGGCCTGTCGTCTAGAAATCTCTCCGGACTTCATTACCACCGAAGGATCGGTTTTTCGATCGGGTTTTCTCCTGAACTTTCACATACTGCACACGCGCGTCTGTTTTTCCCGATACACATTTGACGTGCAATGGAATAATATTGGGATCTCACTTCGAGAACCAGCCCCACGAAGTTAACCAATTACATCTACTCAGAGTCTTCCTCGAGAGCATCATTCTCACCACCGGTGGAGCTGGCGAAGGCTGCGTTAGCCTTGCTGAAAGCAGCCTCACGTCTCTTTTCCAACGCTTCGGCCTCCGCCTTAAGGTTCGCAGGAGCCTTCGCAGTCATTACGTTGGAGAGCTCCTTGCTGGCAACTTCGGTCTTCTGCACGTTCTTCTTCACCAGGCCGCCGACCTTCAGGCTCTCAAGTCGGCCTTTGTTTGACACCATGCTGGTCAACTGGGTCTCGGTCAAATCCACGATGGTCTTCATCTGGTCCAGGAGCTTCTTCGCATCTGAGTCGGAGGGGTTGAAGTTCTATCGTTGGGCGATCGTTAGTGAGACCGCACACAAGTATCAGTGACAGAACTTTCACTCACTCCGTAGTCCTTGATGCCCTTGTTGATCGTGCTGACAATGGAGTTGGATTTGGTTCCCAGCTTGATGGCATCCTTGTAGTTCAAGTCGCTGCCCTTCTGGAGGATCTTGATGGACTTGGTCACCTTGCGCTCGATGTCGCTCAAGCTCTTGGAAATATCGGCGAAAGACATGATGTTGGTTGGAAGGTATGTTGGTGGGGTGTGTTGGTGTGTTGATCGTAGGTAATCGAAAGCTTTGTTTTTTGATGTGGCGATGTGCTGCTCAAGTTGCTGTTATTAGTAGTGGTAATCAAATCATGTCGTCGGCGGACTTGATGGCCCTTTTTAACATTTTCCGAATAGAAAGATCGTGATTCACATGCCGTTTGGTACCTCGGACCACACGCATTACTAGACGTTGAAAGAATAACAGTTCTCTAGAGCATAAACCAGCTTCGACTGGGGGTGCCTGAGCTATGACGTGATAAGGGAGCTTCAGCTTCAGGCGCCCAGCAATGTTGGAGCTGAGGCCAAGGGTCTAGCCTTGAAACTTGAAACGATGCAAAGGCCGCCCAGCTATCCTTCGCACCCGATGGTCCAAACAAAGCCACGGCGCCCCATCACAGGGTTCCATTCCGGCAAGAATCCCGAGGAGCCAATTCGATTTACAGCTGTCTTGCCACAGGATATCATGCGAAGAAATTCGATTCAGATCTTTGCAAGGAATATGTTACATGAGGGTTGATGGATCGTTCGGCTTACATTCGAGGTGCATTGTACTCACAGCCGATAATCGTGTCAATAGTCTTCCAGTCTTATTGCGAAAAGCCTAGCCGAGTGCTACCCTTCAGCCATTGCTGTCCTGCATGAAATTTCAGTCGTATGCTTTCTTGATTGTGGCGGCGCAACTGCGTACTCTCTGTGACCCTGAAATTACTGCCTCGGCCTTCTTGTGAAATTCACGTGCCTTCACAGCCACACTAGGTCGTGGACGTTCCACATGTCTATCAGCGATGCTTGCCCTGATCTCGAGCAACTCAAATTCCAGCATAGTGATATAAAAAGCTGCAAGCTTATTATGGATTCGTCGCGTAGCAATGCTGAAACCATAGGAGTTGCGCGGTCGGTCCTGATCCCAAAACTTCGACTTTCTCGGCCCAGTCCGAGTGCGAGATATTGGGAAACAGGATTTAAAAATTGTCCACATACTAAGATCTATTCAAACCAAGTTGCTCAGGAGGTGCATCTATGGATATATGATCAATCCTAAAATGATTCCCAAACAATTCTACGCAGCCGCTTCATGAATGAATGCGAGACGGGACTGCAAGCTTATATTTCAATCATGTTCGACATTCTAACACAGGTTATTGACATTACTGACTCCAATTCAATTGGGGAAGACTGCGAAGACTGAAATCAGTCACAAACGTCTAAATACTTGTCAACTATGTATCACCTAATAGTGAGTTGAACGTAGAAATGGTATTTGAAATCCACTTAGTTACGGTTTTTGAGCCTTTTAGGGATCGCCATCTCCTGACGGAAGCTGTCTGGTGTGATTGTCAAGAACATGTAGCAGCATTATCAATTGACATGTTTTCCGGACGCATCTTTGCCGATAGTCAACTGTCAAAGACAACAGGCCGAGTTGCCGCTGTATTTCCGCAGTTCCCAAAGGTTGAGACCAGATGCAGAAACAGGCCAATCACACGTAGATTACTGTATGGTTAGTCTTCTCATTTACACTGCACATATGGAAACACTGGCGATACAACACGAATCCAACTTACTATAACGAAATACCCAAGGGTTGAACTTGTCTTTCTTCCAGTCACATCTCGAGCACTGCACTTTCTAATACAATTTGCCAAAAACTCGGGGCCCAGCCTTACTATCAAACAACCCGCTCTTTCGAAATGGGTTGAGCTTGTTTTTCCCGACAAGAACATGAAATCCCCTTGTTCGCACGCTGTTTCGATTTCAAGATCGGATTTCGAGTATCACGTCCTGTGAGTCAGACGCTGATCCATGGCGATTTCCGTTTCCGTATTCGCGATGTGAGCCTCCGCTGCGGGGCGGTTGCTGGGATCGGTCCCGCAAGCAGCGGCAGAGTAGCGAATCTTGCTCCGGACCGCCGAGGCAATCGCAAGCCGTTTACCGAGTTTCGTCTTGGCACTCTGTCCATGCCGAACAGATGTCCTCGGGTGGAGTCATGCCGTGCAGATCACAGCCAACGATGACGATAATACATAACTTCGACGGCGTTGTGCAGCCCCAGACTATTGTTGGAATAAAGGCAGCCCATTAATGGGACATACTTGCTGCAGCAAAACGAGATCAAGTATCTTGAACCGCTCAGGGCTTTTACCAGAAGAAGAATGAGCCTTGTGCGTAGTCCAGCTCTTATTGAGTAAACAATTTCACAGTCATATCCGAATGATTGAGACCCTCCGATGAGATTAAGAATTGCTTCAAAATTGTCTGTTTTATATATTTCTCTTCCTTAATCGAAGCTAAGCTCTTCCTTTTTCGTTGTCTTTGGGTTCAAAACTTCTACCCAGGTAAGCTGGTAATAAAAGAGTGATACACATAACCAAGCTTCCCTGCCCACGACCTTCACAACAGTACCAGCGACGTTTTCCAATGTTCGCAATGGTTAGTTTGAGAAAGACATTGGTATTTAATAACACTCAATCTCTGGCTTTCTGGAAATGGGGAAGAAGAAGTCGGGAGAGGTACTCCCAAGTGAAGTAAGGGACTAATAGCGATTGAGGTGGTGTGTAATATCACTTTTCTTTGGTCACCAGCTTACCATGGAAGATGGCCGAATATATTGCCTAGTCCAAGGATGAATTGAGATACGAGCAGTTGATCATTGCGTGGATGAGGGACGACCTTGTGTCATATCGACGTCAAGTAAAACCTGAAAACTGTAGTATCATGCCCAGTTTTCGCCATAGCGTCATCAAATTGAAGATAGTTGGCACAATCGTGTGCTGGTCGGAAACGCGTTCTGAAGATAACCATTAGGGCACTGAATGATGCTTCATCTCTGTGAAACCCCAGGCGGTTTGTTCTAGCTGTCAACCTGAACCAACAAGATCCCAAGCATCGTTGATGGAAAGTAGCAGATCAAGACGTCAGGATCGCCTTTAGAAGAGTGTGCGGGAGGCGAAACGCCTGCATATGTAGATCTACAGTCTTTTGCACCAACAGAAGAATGTTGTGAATCATACCTGGGCCTTGTTGATAGCCGCAACGTTGCAATTCTCCAAGCAGGCGAAGAACGCCCGGGCGTAAGGGATGCAGGTGAGTAACGAAGGTGTGTCCCGTCCCGCAACCACACGACCAACATACCGAGGTCACCGGCTCGGGCTAGCCGGGTGGCGGCAGCGAAAGGAGTCGAAAGATGTCATCCAGTCGTCTGAAAAACATCGATCACAAGCTGCTATTCGCCCAAACCCTTTCACCAACACACCAACGCCACTGCATTCTCTTATCGTAACTTGCACCGTCTAGGCCCCCGCTGCACATTGTTGGATGCTAGCAGTATTCAATACGATAACACACAAAGACAAAGTCTCGCTTGCACGATGCATTGATCCAACAGGACACCCCCAGTCCAGGTCCCCAAGATTGCGGAAGGAATATGGGGTCAAGGAGGTTGCCACGCCTATCTCTGCGTCGCCTCCCCATTTGGAGGCCAATTAGAAGACCATTTTTCTAGAATGCTCAAGGAAACACCCATGGCTTTTGGCTGGTACCCTCTGCACCTGTTCCACAGGGCTATCCCGCATGTACCGCTGGGATGTCACTCTTCTCCCGAGATACCGAGGAGACACTGCACGAAGTTGGATCGAAGTGCATGATGCCCCTGGCAGGCGAGGCCGTATCTGGGAGCAATCTTTCGGTGGTCGGATATGACGGATGGGGCCTCATGAACTGTTCTCCGTCTTGTCTATTTCCTGCCATTGACCATTGGATGGTGACTCTGTATAGCCCGGCCGGGGAGTCCATGGGCGTTTCCGCCACTGTCACTTATATTTGCGAACAAGGCTGGCATCTCCAGGCCACGAACTGTTCGTCGCCTGAACAAGGTCCATCTGGTCCAGTTTTATTTTTGATGGTTGAACGCTGTGACCACGCTGTCCCAGCCAGCTAGCGGAGACCTGGGGAAATGACAGGAGTTTTACGTACGAGAATCCGTAACTCTCAACCGCTGTCGATAACCTTATTTTTGCACCCAGAGCGACGGTGCTGGGGATACGAAGATCTCGGATGAGAGAGTGCTGCTCAACATGTTCCATTTCTTTGAATGTAGTTGCGCAGTTAATGGCACATTTGATGGCCCAATACGCCCTGTCTTTCTGATGGTGTGATGACGATATCTGAAAAAATAAATAAAAAAATGCCAAGGTTGTGGTCGAGTCATTGACCGTTTGTTTCTCTGCGCGATAGATGATGCATTTGCAGAACAAATGACATTCACGCTCCCCCAACCATTCAACTAATAACAACCAATATGGCCATCACCGCACCATAGTTCGGGGACCTTTTGCTTCGCGCGATGGAAGGCGGGGGACGCACCCAACAGGCAAGTCAAAGTCGAGGCGCCATCGGACGAACCAGCCCGCTCCAGCAGCTCGGGTCCCAAGGCTAGCAATCGACAGGCATCATCGGTTCAAAAGTGCGAGATCACGGAGTGCGCAGAGGGCCGTTTGTCATGCTTTCAAAGGGATATCATGTACTCCTGCGGTGGGAACGAGGTGGGCTGTCTAGGATGCAGGAACTTTTTGAACCGCTTGACAGGATCAATGTCAAGCCCCAGCAACGATTGGCTTCTTTGCCGACGGACATGATCCGGGGTGGCGCATTATGCCGTATTTCCCGAGTTGCCTTCCCGAACAGTGATAGATAAGAACTTGCTTCCGTCACTCTGTATGGCCAGTTGCGTCGGAACAGCGCTTCTCCAGTTCTTCAACTCCCTCGCGTGCCCTGCAGGGGTCGCTTTCGGACGATTAACTGTGAAAGGGCTTGGCCTCCTGGGGGACAGCCACGCTAGACAGGGACCATCCTCGGACCCCAAGGTCCCTTTGCAATCGCTAAACCCACAGTATGCATGCCTTTGCATGACTTTTTGTCCAGCGAGTGGCGACGCGGGTTGCTCGCTTACTGGTCAACCGCTCCCTCGTCGTGGCCCCTAGCGGTTGAGCCCTGGCAACCATGGAGGCATTCCCACGCTTCCCAGAGCTTGGCCGCCCGTCTTGGGCGTTGCTTGTGTATTGCTTGTGTGTGCTTGGCAGCCATCCCGTTGCCTAACCGTGCCGTGCGGCTTGCTCTTCTCGCCGTACTTGGCGCCCAGCCCTCTTGGCGATCGATCTAGCAGGCGGCTCACTCGAGCGAGGTGCAGCCTGCTGCACTTCGCAACTCCTGCTCTCTCTCGGCGTTGGGCCGCTCTCATGCCGTCAGAACTTGCCCAGGGAAGAGAAGCGGCGGTCACCGGCGGCGACGTGGGCGGCGGCGGGCGCGATGGATCAATTGCCATCGCCTCTCCCGCTCAACGGCGTTCTCGTGGTCCAATCTAACGAATGGGAGAGGGCCTCCTTGTCATCTCAACACAGCTGAGTCGGCAGGCACTTTTGATTGTACTATGTAATATGCTCCAGTCAGCGTCCTATCAGCAGGTGGAGAAGACGCAGTCCGACCCCAGACCACCCCTCCCACATTTCAGCCGTATGTCTCGAGCTAGTCGGCGCTTCTCTGGCGATTTGGACGCGGGCTGCGGGATGGTCTCTCGACCTGGGTGCCGGAATATCCTATCAACAGGCGCGATCACACCCCTTTTGAGCAGGCGAGAACCAACCCATCCCACCCTTCTAGACGGTGGCGAGGAAGAACCAGGTCCTTTTGCAGCAACGGATTGGTGCATGTCAACCTACCAGGGGCGATGCCGTTAATCAGTCACGTCAGTGCGCCGCCTATCGAGCCAACGGAGAACCACGCACATGCCCGCCTACACAAGCTTCTGGACTGCACTGCTATCGGCATTCGGATAGTGGGCATGCCATTTCGTATCGGCCGAGGTCTCTGCCAGGGATTGCCCTGCTTCGCGCCTCGCAAACGACTCCATTAGGCAGGTCGGTATCTCTCGTCTTGGCCCACTGGTCGCCGATACAGCTGCCGACCGTGGAGTCCTGGACGATGCTGCGCATCTAAATACCACAAGATGCCTTCGACCTCGTTCACGTTTTCTTCCTCTCCGTTCTTCAGTTGTCACGGCCAACATCACCTTTGAGTTTCCCCCTTTCGAAAACTCAGGGCGAAAGTAACCCCACCAGCCCGACCCAACAACTGCCAGACAAAATGGCCTTCAGCAAGTGGAGGGGCAAGGTGTCGGAGCGGCCCATCGTGGTCGATGCCGTCGCGACCGGCACCGACGCCCAGGGCCTCGAGACCGTCAACCCCGAGGCTGAGCTCAAGAAGTTCAAGAAGATTCACAAGTGGGATCCGTTCTTGGACATTGAGACGCTCGACACCGCAGAGAACGCTCTCAACTCTGGCGACTACGAGAAGGAGGCTGCCGTCGAGGCTGCTCTCCACGAGGACTCTCCTTACCCCGAGGTCAGGGCTTCGGTATGTTATCATGTGCTCCGGACAAGCTGCACGGTCATGTCTGACTATTCCAGGTTCCCCCATTTGATGACGATGATATGCCCATCAACACTCTTCGTGCCTGGTTCCTCGGTGGCCTCATGTGTACCATCATCGCCGCCTGTAATATCCTCCTCGGTCTCCGTCGGTCACCCATCACTATCACCTCCACCGTTGTGCAATTGGTGTCTTACCCCATGGGATGCGGGTTGGCCAAGTTCGTCCCCGAGGTCAAGTTTAAACTCTTCGGAAACGAATTCAACACCAACCCCGGCCCTTTCAACGTTAAGGAGCATACCGTCATCACCATGATGACCGCCGCCGGTGCCACCGCCAGTTACGCCATCGATATTCTCCTCGCCCAGGAGCTGTTCTACGACCAGTTTTTCGGCTGGGGCTTCCAGATTCTGCTCATTATCTCGACTCAGGCCATGGGTCTCGGTATTGCAGGTGTCTTGCGTCGCTACCTCGTCTGGCCTGCTGCCATGGTTTGGCCTGCGACCTTGATCACCACAACTGTCATGTACTCGCTTCACGACCACTCGTCTTCGGACCCAGCCCTTACCAACGGCTGGAGGATCGGCCGCTACAAGTTCTTCATCATTGTTGCTGCCGCTACTTTCGTCTACGAGTGGATTCCTGAGGTGTTTGCCCAGTTTCTCCAAATCTTTACCTTCGTATGCTGGATTGCCCCCAACAACGTCGTCGTCAACCAGATCTTCGGCGGCCAGACTGGTCTTGGTCTCATCCCCATCTCGTTCGATTGGAGCATCATTTCCGGTTACTTGTACTCTCCTCTTCAAACCCCTGCGTTCGCCATCGCCAATGTCGGTGTCGGAATCCTTATCATGCTTCTTGGCTGTGTTGGTCTTGCTTGGGGTGGACCCGAGTTCTACCGTTACTTGCCCATCAGCGCGAACCAGAACTTCGACCATTTCGCAAACAAGTACAACACCAGCCGCATCCTGACTCCTGAGTTCACCTTCAACGAGACTGCTTACAAGGAGTACTCCCCTCTCATCCTGGGCCCTGCGTTTTCGCTGAGTTACGGCATGGGCTTCGCTGGTCTCATCAGCACACTGGTTCACGTTGCTCTTTTCTACGGCCAAGACATTATCGACCGTACTCGCTCAGCTACCACTGAGGAGGCTGACGTCCACCTGAAGCTGATGCGCAAGTACAAGGAGGCTCCTGAGTGGTGGTTCATGATCATGTTCGGCATCAGCTTCGCCTTCGGCATCATTGCTTCTCAAGTCTGGGACACTCATCTGGAATGGTGGGCCTACATCATCTGCATCCTCATCGGTGCCTTCTTCATCCTGCCTGTCGGTATTATCCAGGCCGTCACGAACCAGCAAACCGGTCTCAACGTCGTCACCGAGATGATTGTCGGCTACATGACCCCGGGTCGCCCCGTCGCCATGATGCTGTTCAAGTCTTGGGGTTACATGCTTTGCTACAACGGCTTGCAGTATGTGTCAGACATGAAGGTTGGCCATTACATGAAGATTCCTCCCCGCACCATGTTCGCTGCCCAGACCTTTGCTGTTGTTTGGCTGTCCTTGGTGCAACTCGCTACCTACAACTTCCTCCGTGGCAACATTGACGGCATTTGCACTACCACCCAGGCTCAGGGTATTACCTGCCCCCAGGCCCGTACTTTCTACAACGCCAGTGTTATCTGGGGTGTCATCGGTCCTGCTCGGATGTTTGGTGCTGGCCAGCTTTACTCTTGGGTCAACTACTTCTGGCTCATTGGTGCCGCCTGCCCCGTCATCCAGTACTTCCTCGCCCGCCGCTACCCCCGCAGCATTCTCCGCTACATCTTCTTCCCCGCCATCTTCGGTGCTGCTGGTATGATCCCTCCCGCGACCATCTGGTGGCTGGGACAGTGGGTTATTGTCGGTCTCATTTTCAACTGGTGGCTCCGTGCCCGCTACCTTGGCTGGTGGAGTAAGTTCGTTCCCTTCCCAAGAAGACTTTTCATGTTACTGACTACGTTACAGCTCGCTACAACTACGTCCTGTCTGGTGCCCTCGATATCGGTACCGCTCTTTGCATTGTTGTTTCTGGTCTCGGGTTGGGTTTGTCCAACACAAACTTCCCCGACTGGTGGGGCAACACGGTGCCTTACGCCAACCTGGACTCTGACGGCGCTGCCGTCTCAAAGATTCTCCCCGACGATGGGTCTTTCATCGGACCGACCCACTGGTAAACAGGACACAAGCAGCACCGCGGTGGCATGTTTGAACTGAACAGTACATAATGTATGATGGTAATATAGGCAAAGTGTTTGGCACAGGCTTTGTATAGTTGTTTTAGAGCACGAAGCTACGTTATGACAATTACAAAGATATCCCTTCTTTTGATCAAACAATATTCTGACGTGTTGAGAAATATGATTATTAGAGTCACTGTACTACTACTCAGCGGAACTGTGTTTGTCAGTCACTTGGTTGTCTTATGCGCATCCCTCAATGACAAACATTTCTCTGTGCACCCCAAACAAGCCAACTGCAATATTGATAGGAAAGAGCGAAACCATGGAGGCAGGATTATAGTATGCATTGGCCCCCTAAGCACCGCATGAAATGTCATGGAAATGGCCGGGCCCTTCTCAACTGTATACAACGGGTCGGCGGCGTGGGTCGACGAATTGCTTGGCCAACTCGGGCAGACACGTCACCATCGAATGCAACCAACGAGATGCCAGTCCAACTCCCTTGGCAGCAGGTAAAAGCCAGCTGTTTACTCGAAGACGCTGAATTGATCCCACTTGTCACAGTGCCAGACCTGGTAGGTCTTGCATTGCCAAGAACTGCGAATCCCAAGCGCAACGACCATGCCCCAGCTCGCCCCCAAGAACCCCCAGGTTGCCCAGTATCGACTGAAGCCAACAAAGTAGACTACGTTGGTCTGCTGCAGCAAAACCCCCTCTCTTGCAGCTTGAAAGTTGAGGGCAAACGACACCCATCGGTATCCAAGCACAGATATAAATACTCGAGTTTTCGAGTTATCAGTAGAGATATCTATCATTTACAGACCACTGTCAACATTTTTCATTTCATCTCGCCTTACAATATAAAGATGAACTTATTGTTTCGGTGCCAGCCGGCGCCCAGGTCGGTGCATATTGGGCTCATGGCATCGACGGACCTTTGTACCCGAACGACGTCGATCACCCCATTGCCGCAAGCCACAAAGGTATGGCGTTCCCTCTGTGTAACATTGATCTCATGGTTACAAGACCACACTAGGCCCCATCATGGTGTACCTAGCCAAGGTCAGTGACGCTGTCTCTGCCAACAGAAACCCTAAGAGCACCCTGGACTGGTTCAAGATCTCAGAAAAGGGCCTCAAGAACGGTGTTCGGGCCGTTGATGAACTGATCGCCAATGAGGGATGGTACAATTTCACCATGCCGTCTTGCGTACCCCCTAGCCAGTATCTTATGAGAGTCGAGATCCTAGCATTGCATAGCGCATTTGCTCCTGATGGAGCTCAGTTCTACGTGGAATGTGTGCAGTCAGATGATATCACCTCTTTTCTTTCTCATTCTAGATGTTCCCCTAACAATCTCTCAGGACTCGTCAAGTTCCCGGGTGCCTACAGCGCGATGGACCCAAGCGTCCTCCTCAGCATCTATGATGACAACGGCCAACCCACCAATGGAGGAAAGCCATACACAATACCTGGTCCAAAGGTGCTCTCTTGCAACTGAAAAGATGATGCCCTCCAGATCCAATCATCACTAATGCGGTAAAATTTGCTCTTCATTGGCCATCCGCGTGATCATCACTTTCATTTCTTTGTTTGCGTGCCGTACACGATACGTACCCAATCTAATCCATCTACTTCTCAGAGACCAACTTGATGTTGTACTCGAGCTCTCTGGCGGCTTTGGGATCGCCCTTCCTTTCAGTAAACTGTACTGTCAACCCATCCTTCACAGCGAACACGGAGTCGTTGTCCAAGTAATCTGAATCCTCGTCAAAGATTTGTGTCGTCACTGACTTGAATCCTTCTGATTGGACCTGAAGCTTTGTTAGATTCCGGGACGGAGCGAGGAATTCCCATATGGCTACGTACGATGAGGTGGATGTGAGCTGGTCTGTAATGATGGCGGTGAAGTAAGTCCAGGAGTTTTCCTGCTGGGCCGTCGCCCGGGACCTCAAGACATTGTCAGCAAGTCGATAGTTTGCCGTTCATGGATGAAACCCACTGGGTATGGCGTGGGCCGAAGGCAGTAGAACGCATAGCGGCCTTCCTCATCAGTGATGAACTTTCCACGCAAATTATGCTCCGGCTGATCTGCATCCTGTTGCTCGTACAATCCTGGCCGCAGTTAGACCATATATCAACAATGAAGACGAAACCTGGCTCACCGTTTGTGGACGCTTGCCAAACATCAACTGACGCGTTGGCGAGAGGCTTTCCAGTATTGGAGCACGTTACTTGACCATACATGAAGGCGACCTCTCCATCTTCGGGACACTTCAAAGCGATGGTGCTACCGTTCGCACGAACAGGCGTGTCCGCGCGCCAGAAAGGGCCCAAGATTGCCGTTACCGTTCCGGGCGCGCCGTTCTTCGTAGCCACCCGGTTGGTGATGTCATCAACGAGTCTTACCTCTTGTTAGTTACCCGATGCGATATGTTCCGCGTGGGATACTTACGATTCCAGTCCAATAACATCACAGAGTAGCTGGCCTTCATTTCGTCTGTCGTTGCTCATCTGACCAGCCCAGTTGATCATATTGACGCCCGCCATCCATTCGTCTGTTGTAAGGTTGACTTCGCGAGCAAAGTCATGGATATGCTGAATAAAAGAGGCCAGAACTTCACGGAGTCTTGGGTTCGTTTCTTTCCCCATGGATGCAATAACCTGTTTCGTAAAGTCCTGGCCAAGACCTTGGTACTGGCCATCGTCCTTCTGTAATGAGCCCATGGCGATGAGTCTGTGTTGTCTCCTTTGGCAAAGCGTTGGATTGAGATCCTTCTGGTGATGGTATCGGATACCTTGTTGCGAATCGTTTCTTATCGTTGAGACGGAATGACTTAACTGCCCCGACCATTGTCGTCCCGCAGTTCAATGGAGGATACTTATCCCAATCACCAGGTGCGCATTACTCGCTCCTCAGCGTTTTGTAACTGCACGTGCCCAACGGGTACTGCCAGCCATAGTCTCACATTTTCGGAAGCACCTCGCGTCCGCGGGGCGCCAGCCAGACTGGAGCCTTCATTTCGGATACGGGGGAGGTATCCGACGCAGGGGGGCCATCTGCCGATATTGTCTGCACACATACATTGGTACGCACGCACACAGCATCATACTTTGAGTCTGACCGCCAGGGCCATCGTTATCGAACAGGGAACCCCACACTTTGCCAGCTTGGTTTTGCGTCATCACGCGTGCGCAGAGAAGGTGTCAGTTTGGCAGTTGGCTTGTGATATGTGATTGCAACTGTTCCGACTTTTGTGGGCAAACGAGAGGACTCGGACGTCTCGTCCAGTGGTCTGGTTCCCCGGCACAGCATAGCACAAGGTTGGGTTGACATGACTGTGTTCGCTGTGCCGATAATGGCAAATAGTGCTGGTGTGGTACGTGCGATCTGTGACTTGGAAGTTTGATCGCCGCACGGACAATCAAGAACATGTTGTGACTAAACCTCATCCTCCAAAGTATGAGCAGGAAATTCTATATACTCTATTCCCACATCCATATCTAGCATATTGATTGAGCACCGGAGTCTCCGTTTGTGTCAATCCTGTGGTCCTCCTCTGGCCCGAAGTTCCAGCTCGCTTCGTCTGTACCATTAGGTCTGCTGGCCCTTTTAACCCCAATATCAATCCCCTCCATCTCTACTACGGGCCGAACAGCCACAACCTCGGCTCCGTATCCCTTTGAGTACCATGTTTCCCGAATACGTGGTGAAGTGAACAGTGCCGGTGCGTAACGCTTCATGGCCTTTAGTGCTGTTCCAGAGATCTGGTCGACGCTGTGGCTGTGCCTCAAGGAAAGGAAGTCGTCGCCAACTAGCCTCCGAAGTTCACGCTTGATATCTTCAGGGTACTGCCCAAGCTTGATGAGAAGCAGGTCATATTGCAGTAGTGATGCTTTTCCATGCCAAGATCCGCCTTGAGTTGCTCTGTTATAGAGGCCAGTCAATGCAGCGATGGCGCCCATGCATCCCGTTCCATAGTCGGAAATGGGGAATGGGGGGACGACTGGCTCATCGAGTCCCATGAAGCGGCCTTGCTCCCATGCTACTCCACTCACCTATTGTCATATCAGTGATCATCCAAGGTTAGGAGAGCGGACCATACTTACACAATCGGCAATTTGCTGCCATCCGGGGCGTCGCCACCATTCTCCCTGATAGCCAAAGCAATTCTCATTCACATAAACAAAGCCCATACCGCGTTCTTTGGCCAATTTAGTCAACGCAGTCACGCCGTAGCCAAGCTTCTCCAATGCTCCTGGTCGATAACCGTCAAGCACAACGTCAGCCTCAGCTAACAGGGTCTCGAAGCGCCGCCTCCCTTCCTCAGTCTTGAGGTCAAGATCAGCAGCGTGCTTGCCCATGTTACCATCAACCTGAAAGAAGGGCACGTCGCTGAGGTTCGGGCTCGTGATCTTCAAAACATCCGCTCCGTACTCGGCCAGAATACGACCGATAACAGGTCCTGCGATAATGCGGCACAGTTCAAGTACCTTCACTCCTGACAGAATTCTCTTGTCTGATGTTTTTGGGAGTGGTATTGGTGGTGTTGAATTCTCCAGGATATCCACACTCCATGGCGGCAGTCTGAGATTTGTCGTGCCCTAATAGATAATCAACAAAGACCGTTCCCATGAGAAAATGGGCGTAGTTGACTCACATGTTGTGTCCTGATGAAATCTTCATGCTTGAGAACAGGGACTCCCGCCTGGTGATTTTCGGCATTCATACGCTCCAGCTCATCAGCCGTAAAATTCTTTACATGAGACTCTATGGTATCAACTATCGCGTTGTGATCTTTCAAATCGGGTCTAAAAGGTTCAAGTCCAATCATGCGGAGTGTAGTCGATGCCTCGAGAGATCCATGAATATGATAGTATTCGCCCGGTTGTTTCGTCTCATACAAGTTGGCAGACATACGGCGGTAGGGATCCGACTGAGCCTGAAGCAAATCCGTATCTGTACAACGTCAGAGTCCTTGCCCACATCAATTATAATGGATGTGTACACCATGGTGCTGAGCTCACCCTTCAAGAACTGCTTCACCTCACGATCTAACTTGCTATAGCCTCCAACGGTTGCCAGATAAGCTTGGATCAAGAATGCAGTGCTCTTCTCCAAGTTCACAGACACCTTGTGTTCTCCAGTGCTTCCATTTTTGGTGATTGCAAGTGCGCCGGCCACACCACCCTCAATGGCCTTCAGAGCCGAGGCTAATTCCGTCTCTTTGAACGGGATCGGAAAGTATGGCAAATCGCGGGATGCTGAGAAATGCACGTTTCTCGATATTTTTTCGGCTTCGGCTGGGATCTTTACATGGCCAAGGACGAGCTCCAAGATGCTTTTCGTCTCTGCAATGGATGAATAGTTTTCGTTCGACATTATGGCAGAGGTCTGATGCTGATGGCGGTGCGAAGTGAACTCCGAAATGGCGGACTGGCACGAAAGCGGGTACTAGTGATAACACAATGCATCCAGACTGCCGGCTGAGGTTGTGTATGTTGTGCGCTTATACCTTCTATGTTGTGATCATCATAATTTACGAAAAGTAGAATCATTTCTTCCGCATCTCGGTTTCGAGCCCGGCTATCTTGAAGATCTGCTGCTCATTTGGCGTGGCTACCTTCCCTCATCCGATCCGCTAGCTCGGAAGCGGCTGCGTCACAGCGATGGACATCGAAACGTCGGACCCGCATCGGGAATCGGGCGGGAGTGCGTGTACCCAATGACAGCAGCTGGGAGTTCCAAATAAGAACCCGGTTTCCGGTCGCTTCGGAAATGGGGGTCCCTGAGCGCTAGGTACTGCAGGCCTAGTTGGGGCTTTGGTGGCGTGGATGGGGGTTAAGCTCAGGCGCTTGGAATCGACGATTGTTTCTCGGGCTGGGAGAGCCGTCGGATAAGGACCTCATCAAGTTGATGTCATGTCGGGTAAGGAACTGGCTCCTCATGTCGCCATTGGTCGAGGGAAGAGACATTGGAAGCTGCCATATCTATCGAACAGTGTCCTCGGGTAGTGATATTCATGCTGTTCTTTGCTGGCTTCTTCTATTAATCGCGACCTCAAAGCTTGGTTGTCAGATTTCGCCTGTCGCTGCGGCCACTCTAGGGGGAGTAGATGTGGCCGTTAGCAGTAGCTGGGCTATGGATAAATCAAACCATTCGTAGCACCCGTGGTTTTCCCGAGTAAAGTTTTCCTGCGTAAGCTGCTACGGTGTGCAAGCGGTACTTGGTTGACAACAGCATTTCAAAACGAGACTGACTTATTGCGTCGTTAAGTGCGGATACAGGCCAACGAGGTCTGCCAAGCGGGTAGCCGACGATCTATCCCAACAGCTCGTTTCTTCACGGAACACCACAGCCAATAGCTATCGCTGTAGAAGTAAGATCTTGAAGACTATTGGCCCTCTTCCCCCACGCTTGACCGAGTTATCTGATACCCTCACCGTCCTTGTTATTTTGCAACGAGTCGTCGGTATGCCGTGCCGTGGAAGGGTGATGAAATCTGGGGGAGAGCCTATGAGCTAGGGCCCCCCCTGGGAAAAGTGTTCCCCCGCAAAAGCGCCTGGCTTGAGACCAATGAACTGTGCCCCCGGATCTTCCATTGCATCAGCTTGCTACGTATGGTCTTTGGCCCTAAGCCCGACAGACCCTGCCACGCATTTGTTCTTCTGGTTGAGAGCTGTAGCAAACCGCCAAATCGTGTGTCACCAAGAAAACTCTCTTAAAAGGCAGATACACGATGCCTACGAAAAAAGTCCGCCAGAGCGAGCGGCGCAGGTGCGTCAAGGCTTGCGGGAATTGTAAACGGCGCAAGGAACGGTGCGACGGGCAGCAACCCTGCCGAAGGTGCGTGATTCGCAGAGTTGAAGGCGATTGTACCTTCGCCGGCCTACCGACAAATCCTGCTTTGGTGGACTCCCTGTCTGCGAGCACTTCCGCCCGTCTTGACCATCACGAAAGCCCAACGAACCGAGGTCTCTTCGGCCCGTATGGATCAGCCGCCTCTTTTCACGAAAGCGTCATTTCGCCGAGCCATAGGCGTGCTTCGTCACAGATCAGCCACCTATCTCAGAGCACTGTGGTACCGCAGGTGTCCAGGCTCATAGCCGATGGCAAAGGCCGGTTCATGTTCATCGGCGATGCCGCCAATCTCGCTTTTCTGAAAGTCATCCGCCGTTTGGTGCGCGACCGCCTGGGGTCATGTCCCTTCACCGACGACCCTCTGCGCCATATCATGGTGGAGGCCACGCCTGAAGGACGTCCGAAATGGATTATCACCAACCCAGCAGACATCCCCGCCAAGCCCAGCAATGAAGAGGCGAGATACCTGCTGCGTTGGTATTTGCGAGCAACCAACTGTATTCTTGATGTTTTTGACGAGGCGGAGCTACTGAGGGATCTGGAAAAGTGGTTGCACGGGAAGCCCACAAGTCAGGACGAAGAGGTGATGAACTGTATCTTCTACCTTGCATTCGGTATCGGAGCGCAACGATGTCCTGACGACCGAGACGCCGATGCTGAGAAGTATTTCAATTATGGGCGATTTCTTGCAGTCTCGTACGCCATGGAGAATCCGACAAACAATACTGTGCGTAGCTACATCCTCATCACCGTCTATCTCCTTGGCGCATCACGGCGCAACTCGGCTTTCATGCACCTAGGCGTCGCTGTCCGGGCTGCTTACGCGCTGGGTATTCACCGGAAAGATAACCCAGCGCTTTTTTCGACGCAAGAGCAAGATATTCGGGAGCGGTTATGGAAAGCTCTTCGGGTCCTTGACTTATTCTTGAGCGCCTCTCTAGGTCGTCCGTTAGCCACCTCCGAGACTAGAGACACAGCCGGCAGCGAGGGTTATTCGGCTTCATTGGACCTCTGCGCCATTTTCGAGTCCATTCTCAACGATGTCTACGCCAAGCGCATGGTGTCGACCGACACTCTGGAAAGGATCAGTGAGCAGCATCGCCGCTGGGCCGCGAGGTTCAGCGATGGTCTTGCTGCTGACGGGGTGAAACCGAGCAACTACTTCGACGCAGAAGACGGCGAGAAATATCCAAACATTGGGCTCTATCATATGAAAGAAGCTTACTACTGGAGCATCATGCTTCTATCACGACCTTTCCTCATCGACTTTGTTGCAAGGAACGCCGCGCGCTCTCAAACATTATCAATGTGGAGTGATGACAAACCGTTCCAGGCATCGCCGTCGGATCAACTCCTTGTGCACGCTTGCGTAGACTCGGCAATCCGCACGATCGACCTCCTGTCCAGTCTCATACCGGATAAGAATGTTGCTAAACGGCATCCCTTTCTGATCAACTCCGTCTTTGTATCGGCGTTGGTCCTTGGTTTAGCAGTCTTTGGGGACTTGGACAACACCTTTCCCTTGGATCACGGCTTGGACGTTGCACAAGCGCTTCTACGCAAGTTCAGCAAACACGATCCAGTTGCAAGCAGAGAACTTTCAATCGTTGAGCATCTTCAGAATGCCTGCGTGTTGCACAGAGAGAGAAGAGTCCGGCGGAAGATGGAATTCCAAGGCATGCTCATTGGCGAACTGTTTGGAAGTGTGCACGAAGGAGCCCTAGCGGCAACGGGCACATTCAGAGCGGAGTCGAGCGTGCTTCTTCGAGCAACTGGAAGCTTCGGAAACCATAGGAACAGCGGCAATTCGGAGGTGGGGGGCCTAAACAGTATGGATCAAAGTGTTCCATTGACGACTGAGAGTACGGATGGGCCGCATTTGATTGGCAGTGAAGTTGGTCGGGGATCAACAAATGTGACCCAGGCACTCACGCCCTCGACAGACATCCTGCTCCCAATGTCACCAAGGACATTGCTCTTCGACTCTTATGACCAGGATATGCCCTTCTTCCCTACTATGGATGCTAGCATGGCGCATCTAAGTTACACGGATGATATGATGCTGTCAGACACAGGTGCTTTACTGGAGCCTCCATGCTAAACTTGTGGTGACAGTGAGATGGACAGGTATGACCGGTAGTAAACGAATGAACATGAATATCCAATGCCCAATACTGAGAGCTTTCGTCGCAATGTATTTAGCCTACGTAAAGCCTACAGCCACAACGTGAAATCCGATTGCCTGGAGAGTACTCACACGTTTACTTCAAGCTGTTGACTAAGTCCCATTTTTTACGAAACGTCCGCGTACATTGTTTGCATTGAAACAATTCAAGACTGGGCCAAGTTAGCAGATCAAAGGTTTCAACAAACCTCGCCTGCTGACGGCAAGCTCGATCACATGTGGTCTAGCTTGCGGTGGGATTGTTTTTCTAAGGTTCCCACTTGGTGTATGCACCGGGACGTCTCTTCAGGCCGCATAAGCGAGCTTGCTGTGGAATGGCTCGTATCTTGATGTTTTATTCCCGAGACTGCCTCTTTCATGGCTTTTCCGTCAAAATTATTGTAGTCGATATTCTTAGAATACGGAGAGTTTATTCGTAAGTTGTCATCCGATACGATGAACCAAGGTAGTGGGAACCCCCTGAAGTATATCGAAGAGCGGAACCCTTAAAGATACTTGTGATACACGCGCACCTTGGGGTCTTGCATGTGGGTTGGAAGTTGGAAGTATTCTCTATCTATTCTGCAGTGGTCTGGTTGTACATATGGTGCCATCAGTATGCCTGAGGCATACCTGACAATACTTCAGCTTTCGGCTCCCCGATTCATGATCGGATCAATCCCCTTCTGGTGCCAGGAACGCAGCTGAGAATACTAAGCGTAACACGCGACCAGACTTGCCCTGCTTTTAACGTACCAGGTCCACAGCAAGCTTCGCAGTTACAATGTCTTTGCCTGAAGAACACAAAGTTATGACCGCCATCAAGGGCCGTCTCAATTTTCCATCAGATAATCAAAACATCAGGCCCAAAGTCTGTTCCAGGAGGATCTGCGCCGAAACTTGGAAGATAGACGAACTTGTAGTGTGGCCGAGAGTTTCCAGCCGAGTAGTCACCGACAAGGGATTGGCAGTGCTACGCGCCCGGTACGAAAACAAAAATAGGTTTCGCTCGAATTCCATTGGCTACTGGCAGGCTTATGCTCCTGTCTAAACGCTCTCGGCGTTACCATTACTTGATTGATGCCGTGGTCTAAATTTCTTATAGACCACTTAAGTGGAGAAGTGCTCAACTCTACAAAGCAAATTTAGAGGCCACAACAGATAGTCTGCAACGGCCACAACAAACGAGCCGATCTAGCCGTGTACAAGTACTTTATTTTGAGTTTGATAAGAGACAACACTCATGGAAAACCAACATGTTCGATATTACAATTTCCCCTCATTTCTGTCGACACTCCCCAGTCAGTGCACGGCTGGGCACCACCCGATGCTGCTTCGGCAAAAAGACATGTGCAGCCGCTTCCCGAAGCGGCAAACCCGCGACCCGATAGGCCGCGACATGCTCTGAGGGTGTCCAGACACAGTGATTGAATCATCCGATGATCATCGATGCAGTGCCCCCATGAAGAACGGATTCCGCGGCAACGGCTATGCGCGGCTGGAGCTCGGGTTGGGGGGATAGTCAGCAACATTCATTGAGAACGTCATAGGTCTCATCCGACTTGCCGGTTGGGAAACGACGGATTGCCTGCACCGCATTGACTTTCTTCGGTTTAATTCCTTCTTGGCTTCATTTACATAAGTCTATGTCATGAGCATCTTCGCCATCGTCTTATAAGTCGAGAGCCACAATCTTAACAACAATTAGTTTGTACTGTTTCATAAAGCCGCCAAGGACACTCCACGCGATTACTTACTCGAGCACAACGTTTAACCTTTTGACGGTCGTCACAAACCTCCTCACTCTCTCTTCAAAGCAATTCAACATGACGCCGCCGCCAGAGTTCTGTCAGCCTCCGAACAAGAATTTCAATGTGGCGGTAGTTGGGGGCGGCATCGCCGGCCTGACCCTCACTCTTCAACTGCTTCAGCACCGGATACCGACGACCCTCTATGAAAAAGCACCGAAGTTTGGTGAAATCGGCGCGGGCGTATCTTTCGGTCCAAATGCTCTCAAGGCTATGTCCCTGATCTCACCGCACGTACGGCAAGCATTTGAGAACCAAGCGACACGTAATGAATGGGAGGACCACCAGAACATATGGTTCGACTTCAGATACGGCGAAACCTGCGAAGGCAGGCACCAGGAGGGCGAGCTAGTCTACCGCCTGATGTGTGAAACCGGACAGACGAGCATCCACCGGGCGCATTTCTTGGACGAGCTGGTCAAGTTATTGCCAGATGGGGTTGCGGAGTTTGGCAAGCAGGCGGTGGGATACGAAGATGACGGCGCACGTGTGTTGCTCAAGTTCCGGGATGGCACCACCGCCATCCATGACGCGGTCGTTGCTTGCGATGGTATCAAGTCCACGCTGAGGCGCGTGATGCTCGGCGATAACAATCCTGCCTCGAGAGCCGTCTTCTCCGGGAAGTACGCGTACCGTGGCCTCATCCCCATGGAGGATGCGGAGAAACTCTTGGGCGAGGAGCTGGCCAAGAACAGCCAGGTCTACTTCGGACGACACGGGCACATCCTGACGTTTTCTGTCGCGAAGGGCACGATAATGAATGGTGAGTGGCTCGGGATACGTACCCTACTAGGTCGACGCCATAAGCTGACGAAGTGATAGTGGTTGCTTTCCGCAGCGCGGACGAATGGAAGTCGGATGATTGGGTCGTGTCGGTGAAAAAGGAGGACATGCTCAAGGATTTCGAGGGCTGGGGCGAGAAGTCCCAGAAGATCATCCAGATGATGCAGAAACCCGACGTGTGGGCACTTTTCGACCACCCACCGAGTCCAACCTACCACCAAGGACGAGTCTGCCTGCTAGGCGATGCCGCTCATGCCTCAACACCGCATAAGGGCTCCGGTGCCGGTATGGCAATTGAGGACGCGTACGTTCTTGGAAACTTGCTGGGGATGGTCAGCAGCCCCAAAGAGATTGATCTGGCGTTTGCGACGTACAACAAGACGAGAAAGGAGAGGTCGCAGAGGCTTGTAGTCGACAGTCGGGAGCAGGGTAGACTGTATGAGTTGGAGTTGAAAGATGACCCTGAATGGATCGCGAACAGCTTATCAACTCGTATGGACTGGGTGTGGAAGTATGACTTGACTCAAGAGCTGGAGCGAGGTCGTCAAGAGATCGAAAAGTACCAAAGGGCTTCAGAGACTAGAGCGCAACTGTAAAAGTATTACACTGGGGGGCAAGGAGCGAGATGTGTCTCAATATTGCAGTCACTTGTTTAGAAAGGGCGTGGAGTCTGATTACGAGTATGATGCCACAACCCATACGTGTTACGATAACTGTAAAGCACTATCCAGCTGTGAAATGGTTGTCAACTAGCGTTTTCAATCGCCATGCTCGAACGAGGTGAACCTATATCGACAATACTTTGACATCCTTGAACCTTGATTCCAGGGCAGCAATAACGCCTTACAACTTCTAGCATGGACAAGCCGACATCGTTACTATGGCAGTGCCCAGGTATCTCAAGGTCAGCAAACCGAAGTCTAGTCAAGGTTCTTTCTAAATTGACCCCGTAGCAACTCCTCCCCCGAGGCGATTCAGACTTGCAAGGTAAAGACTAGGAAGTGCAGATCTGCAGCGATTCGGCAGACAGGCAATTTCTAGCGTGGTTCTGCTAGTGGGAGGGTCGATAGGATCCCGCACAATTCCATCACGACAGTAGTAATGAAGCCATCCAACTCATCGCTGAATCAGCAATTCGCCTCTCCACGAGAAACTCTCTCGCCCTGGTGGTCTAGCGGTATGATTCTTCCTTAGGGCTATCAGTTGATAAACTTACCTGGAAGAGGTCCCAGGTTCGATCCCTGGCCAGGGCCCAACCCTTTTGATTCTCACATAGTTGTGCAGGTGGAGCCTGGCTGATTTTTTCGCAACTTGTGGTTTTAGCTCTACCCGAGCATGTGGAGAAACAATTGGCTTGTCTCATCCGCGATATGGCTTGCTCACACAAAGGGTGGATGGCTCTACTACTAGTTTCGGAGTATGCACAATCTTTGGTCAGCCACTAAAAGGGGAAAGAAAGGTGTGCATAGACATAACAAACAAAGATCGCAGGTGCCGATAAGACTATCCGGGAACTGTTAGGGCTGGTTCATTTATATACTTGTCCGAACCAGAGTACTACATCACAATTGAATAGAAACCGTATTCCAACATTACGTTCGTTAGGCATTACGTAGCGAATCATCAAATCTATGGGGTATCGTGTCTATGTCCATGCCATAAGGCGATCTGTAGGCCATGTCCGGAGCAGTATGCTCGAAGCTAGGCCGCCCATAGTAGCTCCAGGCTCCCAGGTAACCTTGGTTAGCCCCCGTATAGCTACCAAATCTCACATATAATACGTGTAGAGCGGACCGCCCGCTCTAGAACCCCCCGTCCGTCAAACAACACACCTTGACCCAACCCATCAATAGCGTTTAACATTATGTAGGTTTCCTCCAATTCCAACCGCTAGCCATGCCTCTTGAGAAGGCGATCATGACGCTGCCTAGTGCGAGGCACACGCCAGCCCATATCCAGGCGCTGTAGAAGCCGACTGAACGCACCAAGGCGCCGCCAACCGGGGATCCGAATAACAGTGCGAAGGACATGACAGCATAGGCCATACCGATCCGAGTGCCAATGTAGTTGCGGTCCTCCGTGAGCTTGGTAAAAGTTGCCGGCTGGAGGGAAAAAAAGCTCCCGCTGCTGAACCCGTAAAAGGCGAGCGTTACGACCAGGCCAGCGGTGTGCTCAACCGTCATAAGACAGAGCGCCGAAATCGACATGATGAGCACTGCGACAATGAGCAGGTTCATACCCCCGACCCGTTGAGCGAATAGATTGGGGATGATGCGGCCGAGGATGGATCCCGCATTCATAATGGCCAGCAGGTACTTGTCGACTTGGGTGCTCGCGGCGCCCCGTTGAAGCGCAAAGCCTTGGATGTAGACGAACGGGGTGTACATGCCCAGGAAGACAAGGCAGCAAGCTGCCACGAAGAGGAGGTAGGGGGCATCGCTAAAAGCGGAGCGGTCGATCCAAGCCCGCCTCTGTCGTGAAGCTTTGGGTGTGTGCATGCTTACGATGGAGACGCCCTGGGTGGCCAACGCGACTAATCCCATGGTGCGCACTGTCCAGGCGAAGCCGATAACGGGTTGAAGGGACCGGAACATTATAGGCAGTACCAGACTATGGAGAGAGTCAGCATCGGTTGCAACCGGCAGGGGGGATATCTCTCGAGCAGATATTGACGCTAGCAAGACTTACCCGCCAACGCCGCTCCCTGCTGCGGCGAGGCCAAGAGCCACGGGCAGTCTCGTGGAAAACCATGGCGATAATACTGCAACTGCCAGCAGAGCCAGGCTGCCCATTCCCGTCCCGATGCATAGCCCTTGCGACAGGAGCAGCTGCCAGAGCGTGCTGCTGAAGCTCTGGGCGATAGTACCAACAACGATTAACAGGGATCCGGCCCAGAGTAGCTGGCGCGCATAGCCCAGATCAAATATGGGACCTGCAAAGCAACCCAAGAACACCATCAAAAAACTCTGCAGAGAGCCGATTGTGGAGATTGCGAAGGGACTGTACTCATTAAGCAGGTCGGCTTCATAGTGAACCTGGAATGCGCCGAAACTCGCGACGAGACCTAGAATATCGCGTGTTAATTCCAGAACAACTTAACGCTCCCTATACTCCCGACATCGCCCGCGCGCACAGCCAACTCTAAATAAAAAAAGCCCGACGTCGCAGTGGGTTATGTGCCACGGTATAACAGGACACAGAGAGAAGCATAACTCACCCCAGGTATTGAAGTAAATGAAGAAGGATGCCAAGACTTGGAGCCAAGCCCTTAGGCCGCCGTTCGGAGGGCCCGCCGGCTTCTCAGGGGCTGCGTGAGACGGCGCAAGATCGTCGCTGCCGCTTTCTTCGTCGGTCCTAAGTGAGGGGCTCGGAGTCTCGTGGCCGGACTCTCGCTCGGAGTGGCGCCCAGGGGACTTTTCCTTTTCCGCCGAGAACGGCATGCTTTAGCTCAGCCCGGCGCGTAGGGTTGCATCGATGATGTAAACTGCCAGCGTTTTTCTTGTCCCCTTTTTTTCTTTTCTTTTTCTATTGTTTCTTTCTTCTTTTTGGGGCCGTTCATGCAAGTTTGCTAGGATGTTACGTCGTTCCGCCTCGATTTGGGTTCGGGCTTGAGCGCGAAATCCTCCTCGCTGGTCGACAACCAGAGACAAACAAGAGAATGAAAGAGACCAAGCGACGACCACAAAGCTCGAGAATAAACACAAGAGAGCCAAAGTAAATATGACCACCTTCTTCTTCCTGTTGAATGAATCTTAAGATTAGCGTGCCATTTTGTTAAATACATTCAAACGGAGCCCGCCACGGCTTCTGGAAAAACCGTCGCCTGGGCCTCGCCGGAGCTCGGGTGGGCCATGCTGGCCGTTGCGACTGTCGCAGCCCGCGTTACAGAGTACAGATGGCCCTCAAAACATATCGCCGTTGCGATGTGACGAACAAAACACAGCGGTCCAGCTTACTCGTTTCTTCAGTCGACGTGCTGTTTGTGGCAATCGACTCAGTGGGCAGCAGTGCTAAAGTTGCCGCTTGTGTTTGGTCCGTGTTTCCAAAGTCGTGCGAAGTCGACGGATTCGTACGCACTCTGAGAGAATTCGGCCGAGGATTGACTGGTCAGGAATCCCGATGTGGCCAATGCGGTTAGAGGATCGCTGGTGCAGGCGGGAATTCAGAAAAAGGCAAAAATGAGGTCGCAGTGTCAGATTGGGGAGGCATTCATCACATCTTCACATTGCATTTATTAGGCGGGTTGCCCTTGGGTACATGTGGCCGCGGCGGCCAGGCCACATTGCACACTCGTTTGACGCATCTCGGACCTCGTCTGGAATCTGGGAATGCCATCGGTCTTTAGGTATTTCAAGCTCGTCGAAACCTCGGAGTAGTGGGTTCGGCGATTGGTCATTCGGGGCATTATGGCTGGGCTACGCTGGGCGGTGAACTAGGAAATACTCTTTTTGAACTGCTCGGCCACAGTCCGTTGCATCGTAGCGGGGGCTGTTGGGGTTTCTGGCTCCATTCTCTGCTGGTAGATGCCGAGATGGATTATTAGTGTCGTGTTTTCCTGATAACGAGATACCGAAGCCCTCCTCTGGTCCCTTGGCATGGTGATGGAGATCGAAAACTGGAGACCGATTATCGGATAGCTTCCCCAAAGGAGTGAAGCAATCCGCGAGCTCTCGCCAAATGCCGCCCTGTCGCCGCGGCTGAGTAGACTTGTAGTTTGAAAGAAAAAACTTGGAACGGGTGCTCCTCATATGTATAGCAAAACATCGGAATAACCATGGACAAACCCGCAGCCCAATGACGTGTAAGCAGACATGTTTCATCCCACACTTCCGTCCCGGCTACTGCTTCCGTTCGGATACCAGCGGATCAGCGGCGCACAGGCAGGTTTTTATTGGACCCCCCTGTGCTCATCGTGGAGGGCTTTTGGGAGCCACGCAGACTCGGGACCGCGTTAGTCTTGAAGTGAGGGCTGTGAAGGACGGCTTGTTGACACTTGAGATGAAGTTGCAGGCTTTCTCACTCACGGCTCCCGCGCTAGCTCGAGCCACTATAGTAAGTCGAGATGTTGCTTAGACTCCCGGCTTCAGTGTTGACTGCTCTGGAAATCAGTTGGGGGGGAGGAGGGGTTTCAACTAGGAGTGACCGATGACCAATTCCAGCGAATGGATTGTTACGTATCAACGGTCCATATGCGTTGCAATATTGGAATCACGTAAATGCTTGACTCAAGATGGACCTTTTCAGTTGGCGGTTGACCGACCAAGACGGACAGAGCCAGTCATCTTCAGCGAATGGAACTTGATGGTATCCCCTGAACTGGGTTCATTTTTTAAGAAACGATGGTCTGTGACCCTCTATTGCGCTCCAGAAGTCCCGCACAACCCTCTTGAAGCCTAAACGCTGAAATAACGACATGCGCACGCCGCCCCTCTAGGACTGAGTCAAGTATGATAAGTAATCCTGCCACCCCTCACCCTGGCCGACGTAACCAACATACATGTCTGGCCTGACGACAACCGTGAAGTTGTCATCGTCGGCCGCCCAATCGGCCGTGAAGGACGATCCCGTCGCTGCAGAGCCCTCGGCTCCCGTCCCGTTAGCCTCCGCCTTGTGGGGTGCGACGTTGAACAGCCTGGCTAAGCCCTGGAGATCGCCCGACAGGACGGGGCCGTGTGCTTGTCGTCCAATCTTGAGCACCAGGTGCTTACCGTACTTGCCTGCAACGAGGTCGTATAGACGCCTCGGCTCCTCTTCGGATGTGGGCGTCAGGAAGACATCGGGACACCGCCGCCCAGCGGTCCAGATGCCTCGACAAGATTCCTGGATTAGGGGCGATCCAGTGCCGTCATAAGAGACACCCATGCCTGTTGAAAATAGAGAGTTAGCCGACCAAGTTTGACGCCAGAGTCAATTTATGAGCCCAGGGGGTCATGGAGGGGTGGAGAAGGCGACTATGGCCTGGAAGCGCAGTTCGTCCCGTTTCTGCCCACCTCCCGCCCCTCCTGACTGCCTCGGGGGAACCCAAACGAGACAGACCTGCAGCCCGAGGGGAGCTAGGGAGGGGAAATAGGGAATACAAAGGTGGACGACATGCTTACCTGTGATGTACCCAGCGTTCTTCTCGATTGTGGAGACGTACTCCTTTGCCGTCTTGATTGTGTCCCTGACCAATGCCGCCGCGACGTCAATGACACTCTGAGCGACAGTGCGCCGCTCGATATCATAGCTCCTAATCAGCTTGTCCGTCGCCTCTGGGCTGAGCTTATCGTTCGTGAGGATGCTTGCCAGCCTCCACGACAGGGCGAACGAGTCGGCAATACCCGTGTTGAGGCCCTGGCCGCCGTTGACAGAGTGAACATGTGCTGCATCACCCGCCAAGAGGATGCGACCGCCGCCGTTTTGGGAAATAAAGGTTCCTGCAATGCGCTCCTTCACTGTATGCCATGTCAGAGGACTTGATTAAATAAATTCCTTCACCTCGCCCGGGGGCGCCTCGTGGCTTTCCATCGCACTTACCGTCAAATGTGCTGAACCACTCCGTCTTCTTGAAGTCCACCCGATGGGGGGCCATGTGCTCGCGGATCGAGTTCTCCGCCTTTTCTTGCGTGATCTCGCCGTCGAGCAGGACGTAGAATCGCGCCATGCCGCGCTCTCGCGGGATCCACGAGATCCGGCTCTGGCCGTTGAGCTGGAAGGTAATGATCTCTGAACACACTGGGAAGGTGGTATCGATGAAGGTGTCCAGCACGGCCCATATCATCTCGGGCTTAGTGCCGGTGAAGCTAATGCCAAGCGTGTTGCGAACGGTGGAGCGCGCGCCGTCGGCTCCCACCGCGTATCTACTACGGATAATACGACCCTTGCTGGTCGTCGTGGTGACGCCAGACTTGTCTTCTGAGATGGACGACACAGTTTCACCATAGCTGATGGACGTAGTGAGCCTTTCCGCGAGGACCTTCTCAACGACCGGCTGGCCGATCATCAGAAAGTTCTTGCGGAAGCAGTGCTCGAGACTAGTCCACCAGTGGCTCTGGCGCGACTTGAAGTCACCATCCGCAAAGGTGGAGCTTGCTGAGAAGGGAGTCAGAACTCATTCAACAGAATTTGTGGCCCAAAAACTTACTGTTGCAGGTGATGCCTTGGGGGATGAGCTCGTCGAGGATGCCAACCACTTCAAGGTACTGCTGCGTGCGAGCGTTGAGCGCATCGGCTCTGCCCAGTTCCAGAGGGCCTTGCTTGCTATCTGGATGCACGTTAAAGCCATGTCCTGACTCGGGGGCCTTTTCGCCAGACTCACCAATAATGCACACCGAGACGCCCAACTGCTCTGCCAGATAGCCCGTGAGCAGGCCAGTTGGTCCACCTGGTTGATCACTGTTAGAACTTCAGGCTCTCCTGAGGGGCTGGCTATACCTACCACCGATGATGGTCAGGTCGACCTGAGTCTCAAGAGTGTCGTCGCGTGGAATGGAGCCCATTTTGGCAAATTATAGGAGTGGTATTAAACAAGTGAAGAGATAGCAAGCAATGGAATTGCTGTTTTTGCTGTTGCTGTTGCTGATGCGGATACCCGAAAACGTATAAGTCCGCCTTCAAGGTGCGGGCTAGTCTTACAGTAGAGCTGCCTGGGCACAAAACCCTCAAAAGAAAGGGGAGAAAATGTGAAATACCGATTAAGTGTATCCGGATTGTTGATCAATACAAGTCAGGGGCAATAGTATCGTTGCAGTCGTGAGCGATTAAGCGATTCGGTTTGACGGGCGGCTTACTTCATATCAGATTATCTGCTTCCGGATGCTGGAGCCGGAACGACTCGCGACACACGCCGAAAAGGGCCCCGCCGTTGGACCGAGCCCCGGCATGGCCGATGCTGGTGGAAGATGGCGATAACCGCCTGATGGTGAGTTGCGCCGGGGGTATTCCTGATTCCTGACACCAAATCGAATGCTACCGGTACTTGTACGCTCCCACACCACACGACTGTGGATGCACTCCGCAAAGGATCAGAGATACTCACAGACCTGACCAATCCACTCGACGATCTCAATGTGACTTGTATAGCACGCCAATGTAGCATTGCAGCTATTGCCCCGGGTGTCTGGACCGACCTGCCCAGTCGAGGAATCAGCGCCGTGACCCTCTGTCCTGTCTCGACTATTCGCCATGGCATCCCGGGCTTCGTAACCCGTTTAAATAGCCGATCAGGTAAGGCGCCGTTTGCGAACCCCGAGGCTCCCTGTCTCCACAGCCGCGGGAGGGCTCTGCCGGTGCGGAATCTGGCCCTTGCTGGACTTTCTTCGACACTCCAGCCATCCATCTACCATACATAGCATATAGTACCGCGGTAATTGTATGGACTCGCCATCCATTTACCCACTCTAACCCTCTTGGACGACGTTTATGGCTCGGTGCTGTTTTTGTCGAATGTGGCGCTCCCCACACTTTTTACGCCGCCCCCCCTTAGCAGGGTTGATTTTGTCTTCCCCTTGACGACTCCCGCGCGGTAACATCAGCTAACATCTTGGAAAATGCGCCAACACTGACTCCTTTGATCCGGGCTCGCTGCGTTTGTCCACTGTGACGTGGGTCGCCCAACCGCGGTTCACTCACACTTGGGCCCAGTCCCTAATCCAGTGCATGATTTACCTGAACCTGATGGGGCCGTCCGTGGGAAAGGGTGGCAACCCTGACTCGAGGAATAATGGAAATGGCGGCTGCATCTGGAAGGTAAGGGAAAGAAGAGGAAGATGACGGAGAAAATCCTGTCGATGCTTGACGTGGCAGGGCTGGATGTCGGGTGTTTTCTGATCCCGTCGACAAGTTCTCGAAATGTATTCTGCTGAGGATTGATTGCAACCCCCACGAGAATTGTGGGTGTTCAGGACCGGAACATGGCCGCTATGGACCAGGCTGCGGAGGATCCGAGTATAGCCACATGTGACCTGATGCGTGAAATGCGCCGACCGCCGACGTGGTGTGGCCCGCTGCTCGTCACCAAGGGCCTTCTTTTCCCTAATGATCATCATTTCCGAGCATGTCTGTATGCAGATGCAACGTTGGCAAGCTATCCCTCGACAGGAAACTACTGGATATAAGCCAGTCGTCTCTCCCGGGCCGTTGGAAACGGGTTACCTTTAGACCATGCTCAAGTTGAATTAAGATCAAGCTACATCTGCCAGTTTCAAACCTTCTTTAATTGTTTGCTTGTTCCTGCTATTCAAGCTTCTCGCCGCATCCACTAGTTGCAAACGTATTGCCAACAACATGCCATCCGCTATAGAATCACCGCCCCGCCAACCGTCCCCAGAAGTCAAGCTCATCACCAAGGTGGCGCCTCAGATGATGGACGACGAGGCTCTTTCCACGGCTTCCGCCATTTTGGACATCATTTGTCGCTACCGCCTGAGACGGCCGCACGAGACCTGCCCTGCCGAGCTCGAGGGGAGGCTTGGCTTCCTCTCCCAGATTTACAGAAAAGTCAAAGCCCGCAGCCAAATCCGCATGTGCCTCCCCGCGTTCCCCTTCAAGTCTCCCAATGCCAAAGACAAGGTCCTTGGCCGCCTGCCCGACAAAGCGGACGAGTTTTCCCTTGCCAACCTCAACGGCCTCTGCTCTGCCATCAAGGACTTTTACGAGCCGGGCGCAAAGTTGACAATCATCTCTGATGGACTGGTATACAATGGTGAGTATATTGTCCACTGTACCGCACCCACAATTTTATGCTCATGGCTAATGATATCCTTAACCAGACCTCCTCGGTGTCCCTGACAAGGAAGTTTGGGCGTACGGAGAGACGTTGCGCGGCCTCGCTGCGAAGAAGAACCTGGCCCACATCGAGTTCTCCCGTCTTCAGGACCTCGTCCACCTTCCAAACCTTCCCAACAAGCTAGAAGAGATCACATACGTTGCCAACGCTACCAACTTCCGCCACTCTCTCCTCAACACCTTTGGGAGGGCCGACTATGACCCTTCCAGGGAAATCTCCCAGAACGAGGACACCTGCTTGACATATCGTGGATACATCAAGTTCCTCGAGACTGACCTGCGCCATGTCTACCCCGTCGGAGAGGACCGGTCCAAGACCAAATTCAAGACGGGCATCGAGTACATCTCGAAGCAGATGCTCCAGCGTGGTGACGTAAGTCGAATCTCCTGGTGTTCATACAATTCTCGATTTCCTCGTCTAACGCACCAACCCAGGCCTTTGCTCGTGCCGTCCGCGAGAACTTCCGCGACCACGTCCGCCTCTCCATTCACCCTTCCACTGGAGAGAACAAGATTTCCATCAGCCCACTCCCCACACCCACCTACTTCACCACCCCTTGGCACTGCTCCATCGCCTTCAGCTTGAACGGCACCGTCACCACCGGCCCCCGCTCCGACTTTGAGAGCGACCCCAAGTACGAGCTGGTGTACGAGGAAGGAAGACCCAGCTACTTCCGCGAGAAGAGTGACCTGCTGCAATGGAATTCCGATGTCACTTTTGAGCCCATGTACCCTTGCGGTATCCTCATCCGCCCGGCCGCCGGCCGCAAGAAGCTCTCCATCCACGACATTGATGCTGAGAAGGTTCGTGCTCTATCCGAGGTCAACTCCCCCGTCGTCATGAGGGGCTTCTCCAAGACCAAGGACCGTGACCTGTTCGTCAAGAAGGCGGAGGAATTCGGCTCGCCCCTACCGTGGAAGTTTGGCCTGGTCTTGGAAGTCAAGGACCAGGGCGCCGACACGCGCGGTCTGAACAACGTTCTGTCGGCAGAGTGGATGCCTTTCCACTTCGATGGCCTGTTCAAGACCCACAAGGTGCCCCAAGCAGACGGAACTGAGAAGCTTCTCCCCAACCCGCCCAGGTAAGCCATTCCCCCACAGTGGCATAATCCTCACGAACTGTACTCTAACGCTTGGCAACCAGGTTCCAGTTCTTCACCTCCATCACTCCCTCACCAAGTGACACCGGCTTCACCCTCTTCACCCCTTCGCACTTCCTCCTCCAGAACCTGCCTCCCCAGCTGCCTCTCTCCAAGCTCCAGGGACTTACCTGGAGCGTCCAGACCAGCTCCTTCGACTCAACCAAGATGACTGGTCTTCCTCTCGTCGTCTCCCACCCGACGACCGGCAAGCCGTGCATCCGCTACCACGAACCCTGGCCGCAATCCAAGACCGCCTTCGACGCGACCTATGTGTCCATTGAGGGTGCCAGCGAGAGCGAGAGCGAGGAGATCTGCAACACCATTGACTCTCTCCTCCACGACCGGAGGAACACCCTCTACTTCGCCTGGGAAGAGGGCGACCTTCTTGTCAGTGATAACATCCTGACGATGCACACGCGCAGCGACTTCACGGCGGGATCTCCCAGAGAGATGTGGCGTATTCACTTTGACTAAGTGCCGAGAGGTCAGAGCGAGCCTACCGAGGCTGGATCTTTTGAGGCTTGTTTCGATTTGCATGGAAATTTTGGAAAAGTTGCATTTGTGGTGTTGGTTTAGGATTCCCACTTCGTTTGGTTTGTTCTTGGTCCGGATACCTTTGATAGTAAAGCGATATGAATTCACTCATTGCAAAATCTTATCAAACCGAACCCTGATTTGTGCCATGCTATTCACGCAGACTTTTTGCTGGATATTATACTAAACATCGAAACAAAACTTCCAATCAACTAACAACCAATACTCTGGATGCAAACCTAAGGCCCGTCCAAGACTTGTTTTCCTCACCGTACAAGGATATCAGCCTTGAACACAACCTTCAACGGTGAAGATTCCTTTGGCGATGAGGTACCCCACGAAATGTACTCAACTCCAAGACCAGAGATAACCCTTCGCTACAGGAATCTGCCCATTTGTCAAAACGAGACCATCAAAGCAATGAACGCTGCCTGAACCAACATAACGCTGCCGGATCTAGTGGCCGAGTTGTGCTGGCTGCCAAGGCAAACGGGATTGTTGTCGTCTGTGCGTTGCAGATGGCGTGGAGGCGATTGAAACACTTGCGGAATTTCTTGCTGGCCTCCAAGTTTTCTTTGTGGTTTTCGACTCTTCGTACTGGCAACTCGCCCAGCCGATCGAAATCTGCGGGTGGTCTATGTCGCGAAGGAGAGTGAGGGGGTTGGTCTTCGTGATGTTGCAGCACTCGGCGAGAATATCGGCGTTGCCCGTGCTGATCGAAATGCTGCATTGCAAACCCACCTAGGCTATAGTATGGCTCCAGGATTTGGGGATCGCGCGATCTCCTGGGCAGAAGGTGTTATTTACTAGGCTGTAGTTTTGTTCGATGCCGGACATTGTGGTTGAGGTCTGTATGAATGTGCGTATTGAGAGTCTTGGTGTTTCGCAAGGAGATGAGGCTCATACACTTGCTGAATCTATCGAGTTCGTAAGTTCGCAAGTCGAGCACGCTTAATGGATGGCTGAACTATCAACCTTGGTAATTCAGTAGTATTGCGAGGCCGTTTAAGTATGTCTATTGGAGCAGCTAGCGTCTATCACTTCTTGGGCGTCTTCTATGGCAAACATCCCGCTCGATGGACCGACAAATTACGGATAAAGTAGTAGAATACACACATCTGCTAGTTATTACTTGGCAACAGCTTCAAATTATTTTTGAGAACCCAACTCGCGTGGATGGCTCTGGGGACCATGAAAATTCAACTGTAGACCTACAGCTAAGCTCCTAGAATAGACTCGTGTCGCGCAGCAACGCCCTCGAGGGACGTCGAGCGGCCTCATCACTCAGGAGGATTGATTGGTTCAGCAACGAGATCTGTCACAGTTGGTCAAGCATCGAGGAATCACGGCCCGCATCGCTTAGGTTAACTCAAATAAGTCAGTTTGGCGAACCAAACTGCCAGGCCACGGTTAAGGGGCACTGTTCCGATGGAGCCAACAATTGAAAAATGAGTGTCATATCCCCTTTAGTAGAGCTCCTCAATGAAAACTGTAAACAGATGAAAGAAGTGACTTAGAGTTCACCAGTTACTAACCAGTATGGTTGCATGAATTCATCACTTCGAAGTGGAATTGTATCTATTCGTCACAGCGCTGCGAAGCGTGGCACAACAGTGTGCTTTTGAAGTTTTTATGGTCAACCAAAGCCACCAATCAACTTTTCAAGAACTGAACTTGAAAAACACCCCTTCTGTAGCATTCTTCCATTTGTAAAACACATTTGCATTGATGCCGACCGATTGATTGCATTACATGGCTTGGCCTGGTATAACTTAGGCCACCGAGGGAATGGCTGCAAGTGATATTGGTGTCCCATTGGTGAGGCTGAAGCTCACAGCGATCAAGCCTAACGAAGTCTCTGGCTCCCAACTATCTTGTAACTTCCATCATCGGAAGGCCATGTAATAAATCGCTTGAATCCCAGGATCGTGTCTTCCATACCTTGAAAACACGTTTTGGTCTGAATGTATCTGATCAAAAATGGTAAGCAGGACGTCCTATATGAAGCTCACCCGTTCTCGTCAGTCGATGGAAGCAATTGCCTCATCAGCACTTTAGGCACGATAGTCCAATCAGCCGCACCCCCACTCGAAATCGAAACTGTCTATCAATTTTTTTTTCCTCACCAAATTTATATACTCGGCCACTTCATGTCTTGTACTTTAGCCCTGAACGTCATCAAATCTCAGGAACTTGCCTTCGCTACTATGATCTATGTGGTCTTTGCGCAGGGAAACCCACTTCCAGACTTCCATATCCCAGCCTGGACGGTTCCTGACTACGACTCCCTTGATCAATACATCACCGAACTCTTCGGCAGGAACACTGATTTCTCTTCTGTCTATTCTCTTTCAGTGGGATATGTCAGTTGCTTTCACCCTTATCCCAATAACATCACTGACCAACCTGAACTCAGTCTATCTACGGATGCACTGATGCCAAGAACCAATTAAATAAAAGTAGCCATTGTTTCTATGGAATGCCCAGGAATCCTCCATGTGCCTCTTACTGTCAGATTAGAGCTACTAGGTATGTGTCATATGTTATCTGATCAGGTACGAAAGAACATCCCTCTTTGAGTCTGAGAAACATATGCTAATGCTTTTTTGTTCGTAAATCCCAGGTCAAGAAGTACCCTTTGGATTCGAGTCGACTGCCTTCAGCTTGGTTCGCCATGTAACATCGAGCTTGAGGAAGTCATATCGCACAGCATATCAATCAGGTTCAACCTTGGCATCGCCGGGGAACTTGACGTATACAGCAAGAGCCTTAACACTGCATTCAACCTTGGCGTCTTCATGCAATGGACCGATAGTGTGTCCTATAGTACCAAAAGTTGCTTTATTGCCCCCGAGGTGATGTGTGGCTCTTGGACATTCATTCCTTGGATGATAGAGTAAGTGTTCCCCTCCTACAATTTTAGTAACCTACTGGTCTCTACCGTTCAGTATGTCGAATTAGGTGCGAGGTTGAAGAGCTAATGACTAGACAGTTCTTGCAGCACGATGACGAGTGTTGGACACAAATCCAACTAGGGTACAACTCCTGGAAACTCTCAAGGCGGGATGTCTGAAACTTGCGACGTCACAATCAACCCCAAGTCCGTAAGCAACTGGTGCCAGACATCCGTTGCTAAAGACGAATTTGGCCAGGCGATTGGTCTTGTCAACTTTGTGATTCAGGATACGAGAATTTTGAGACACTCCAGGACGGGCAGGCAGCCATTTACTATTACCCAGGCGTTTCTACCAAAGCTCGCTTCAAGTCTCAGTGGCCCGCACCGACGAGCGCTTTTCGTGATCCACCAGTCAAGCCAGAATAGAAGAGCTTTCAAAAGCTTCTTGCTACGGGGAGACATGCTTAAACCTGATGCAAAGTCTGGTGTTTTCAGATATCGAAAACGAAACCATAGTTGGTAGGCCTAGGAGGGTGGACCTCTCTGGATGGCTTTCAGACTTGTGTTCTTTGGGGTGGTAGTTGCCGGAATGCATCGAACGATGACGCGTTTCATTCTACACACGTGTTACCTTTTTTCCCTTTTTCCCCTTTATTTTCTTCGTCCTTGTATTTTTTATCCATTTTTTTTTTTTTGCTTCCCTTTTTTCATTGTTTTCCATTGTAAGTTTTCTTCCTGACTTGGGATTTCGTCGCTCAATTGCAAAGATTATCCTGTTGCTACCTAGCATCTCAAATTTCTGATGTATCGTAGCACTTTCCGTTTTAAGGTCCAATATATGAGATTGTGTTGACCCTTTTCCACGAAATGGCTTCAATATTTCGATTATCATTCAACATGGGAAGTGAATGTACAGATGTATCATTGCATACATCGGTCATACAGATACATGAACGATGTTCCAAGGTTGTTCAATCGCGTATTCGGGCAGAGTCCCTGATATTGAGATTTCGTTAGCTGTGGGATGCCATCCTAGATGTCGTGGAAGGCTCGACAAAAACAGCTATCCCCCTGTTCTGATCGTTTAAATTCAACAACCCGGACTATGCTAGAGCAGACAACGTTCATTGGCAAGTCCTTGAAATCCCAAGTCAAAGAAAGGATATACGTCGCTGTTGGGGCTCGCTTCTTCTAGGTGCTTCTTGGAGTAAGTGAACAATGCAAGAGCTTTTAAACAGTCAGTTTTCTCTAAAACAGAAGGTGCGACGTTTCGAAAATTGAAAGCCCCATTGATTGTTTGCCGAGCAGAAAGCCATTGTCTTCTGTTGAGATCAGTGCCAAGGTTCAACGTTGCCAGCGGCTCCTATTCCGGCCATTATCCTGGCTCTGTCAAAGAAAATCCCCTTAGGTGAGTTGCCAGACGACGGCATTCCTTCCTGATCTGACTTATGTTTTCCCCACCCGTTAAGCTGACACCAAAATCAATGTCACGTTGAATGGCCTACCCTCTAGCTCCTGCCTCCTTCTCTCACGTTGGGTCTTGAGTTGCCTCATTCTCACACACATCCACACGCGCCTCAAGCGACCTACGACGACATCATTCATGTTTTCACTCTTGCCCTAGATTCTTCCACGGTCTATTCTGCCTGCAGAATCTTTGATAAAAAGTCTTTCACCCCTCACTTTCTCTCATACTTTCTCCCACACACCTCCTCTTTCCACCTAATCTGGATAAGCCTACTTCTACCCAACCACTCTTCATCTCCACTCTTCATCATCCACCCAAACTCATCTTCATCGCTTCTTGTGCACTTCCAAACTCCCTCACTCGTGATCAAACCAGTCAGACACTCTACACATCACCAACACTATTCAACATGTCTTCCAACGGCTCTTCCTCTGAGGCTCCTGCCAAGCCGACCCTCACCGATCGTGAGCTTGAGATCCTCCAGCACGCTTGGACCTGCATGAAGTCGCCTCCTGAGGTAAGATCACCCCTCATAATCAATCTTCATCACCCTCCATATCGAGCCGAACTGACACCTTTTCTTTCCTTCCCCCATTGTAGATCGACTACCCCCGCCTGGCCGCTGCCTGCGGCATGACCAACCCTCGCTCCGCCAGCAACGCCTGGAGCGGCATCAAGAAGAAGCTCTTCGCTGACATGCCCGCCCCTGCCGACGAGGATGGCAATCCGGTTGCGACTCCTTCCAAGCGCAAGCGCGGCACTCCGGCCAAGAAGAAGGCTGTCTCCGCCGCCGATGAGGGCGATGAGCTTGCCAACTCGGACGGCGAGGAGAAGCTCGTCGTCGAGACTCCCAAGAAGAAGCGCAACACGCCTGCCAAGAAGAAAACCGCCGCTGCCACTGTCGTCGCCGCCGGCACCACTGACGGCGAAGTTGCCGATGGTGAGGAGACCGCCTCTGAGACTCCTGCCAAGAAGAAGCGCACCCCCGCCAAGCGCAAGACTCCCGTCAAGGGCAAGAAGAGCGCCGCCACTGTTGCGGCCGACAACGAGGAGGAGGTCGAGGCTGCCGCCGATGCTGCCGCTGAGGATGCCGCTGACCAGGCTCCTGCTGCCGATGTCGCGAAACTCGACGTCCAGGATGACGACAAAAAGGATGTCGACATGGAGAAGGGTGACAACCCGGATGAGATCTAAGGATATTGCCTTCCTTGCTCGTTCTGGCACAGCTTGTCTCCCACGATGCTTTATGGCTTCTCTCTTTTGATATCTTAGGGTACCTCTAGGTTTTCTAGCCGTCGGCATTGTCTGAACTTGCCTGACTTGGACTAGCCTTTTGGAGCAGCACCTGAAGATATCGACACTGGACATAATGGTTCTGGGTCATGGTTAACATGCACAGCTCTTTTAATGGGCTCATCGGTTTACGGATAGCTTGGTCGACCTGAGAATAGAGGTCTGGAATTGCATCAAGCTCTATACATAGACTCGTTCCTGCTGCATTGAAATGTTTCTGTGATTGCTGTCGGTCATCCTTTCTCGGCATCGTGTGACGCCAACATTTCGACAAACACTGTGCCCTTGTCAAAGACGAAAACTCGCAGCTGATTGGGTTGACCATCTTTTTGTCTCGTTCTACATTTTGCTCTGAAGTTTTCTTTACTTCCCGTTGCCTATTTCCTATGGGCTATGCATCAACCGTCGCAGTCAAAGCGACCTAAGTTGCCGCGTCTCACTTCGTCGACTGGGCTCCATCTCTATGATCATTCGGTTCAAAGCACGGCGGGCACTGGTGGAACATCATATTTGAAGAGCCTTCCAGCTCTGCAACCAGGAGCGGGTTAGCTCATACGTCATTTTCAGAGCACTTAATATCGTATCGTGGCAACAGTATCCTCTACTTCCACCATGCCAGTACAGGCAACGAACGGCTGGCCGGGTTGGCCATGAAGGACAATGATAGCTGAGAAACCTTTTCGTACCAGGGTGCTATCTTACTTCGATCAAAGACTCTGCTACATCATGACGAGCCCGAAAAGTCCAGTCGGGTGCTCTGGCGAACAAACAGACCAGCTTCTCACCTGGCCGAGCGTAGAGCACCGCGCTAGACCACATCATTGAAAACAAAGTCACCTAACAGATTCCAGAAGTCAAAATACGGGATGCACTTGAGAATTGTTTGATTTGGAAACCAGAAAAAAGCTAGCATGGGTTCGTGGGTTTTGCAAGAGTCGCCCTTGGCCGAAGGGATACAAAAGGGAGGCTCCCCTCCCTTCATCGACCCATCATGCAGCCACAGCACAGCAAGACTCAGACAACTTCAGCACTCTTCAAATACATCTCAATTAAACCTCAACAACCGTTGATAAAAGCAATGTTACATCTCGCGATCATCTTGGCGGCCATCGCGGCCCTCACCGGCGCGGCCACCGCCGCGCTGTGCACCCCGGCCGAGACCTACTGTGGCTCCAACCTCATCAAAGCCGGTGCGTTTCGCCGTGCCCTTCCCTTCTCTTGGGTAACCAAAGCTGACGTGGAACAAAATCAGACATGAGAAACCGCGCGGCCGTCGAGGACGCCCTGACCTCGGGCAGACAGCCCATTGACGAGGCGCACATCAACCAGTCCGTCTTTTGGTGTGCCCCGGCCGGCGTCCCGGTTCCGGGCAAATCCGGACTGCTCTTTGTGACATACTGCGGCCCTGTCAACGTCTGCGTTGAGGGCGGTGCACTGGGCGGTGTCGGCGATGCGTGCGCGCCCCCGAAGGGCAGTGGATGAGGCCTTTGAGTTTGACTCCGAGTATGGATGTGGCGCTTGACGCGATTCACTGAGAATAAACATACATGTGACTGGTACATATGGGTCGGTGGTGTGGAAATGCATAGTCAGGATGCTTGTAGCTCCAAGTTTTGTCTATTCACTATTTCAGAACATGATGATTCCGAGGTTGCATGGTACATATCGCCGACTCTCATCTATATTCCCTCTGGGCTGTGATGGGGCACGTCTATTCCTGGATATACTTCTTCAGCCCGCGGAGGCGCTCCTTGGCGGTCTCGAGAACCTCGTCCTCCTTGCAGACGGCGAAGCGGATGTAGTCTTCGGCGATGTGGGTGTTGGCGTCGGTGTAGAACTCGGTGGGCGGAATGGCGGCGACGCCGACCTCCTGGATGAGGAACCAGGCGAGCTTGAAGTCCCGAGGACGGCTGGCGACGTGGGGCGGGAAGGGGTAGTCCTCGGGCAGCTTAACCTTGGCCATGTTGACGAGGACGAAGTAGCCACCCTCAGGCTCCGAGTAGGGCATGCCCAGCTCCTTCCAGACCTCGTTGAAGCGGTCCATCTTGCCCTTCATGTCCTTGATCGTCTCGTCCCAGAAGCCCTCCTTCTCGGCTTGTTCAAAACCTAGCTTGTGTTAGCTCTGTTCATATCTCGCTTTCTTCAGGCTAGGAGCGGCGGTACATACCAACAGCGCATGCCTCTTGCAGGGGTGACACGGAAGAGTAACAGATGCGGGTGTGAGCGGCGGAGACGTGCTGGATGAGCTCGGCGGGACCCATGAGCCAGCCCACACGCCAGCCCGTGGCGTAAAAGTTCTTGCCTGCGGAGCCGACGGTGATGGTAAGGCGCTCGACCTCGGGAGACAGGGTGGCGATTCTCGTGAAGGGGACGTAGTACAGGCGGTCATACACCTCGTCGGAGAGAATGATGATCTCGTGCTTGACGCACAGGTCGCCGATCTTCTGGAGCTCCTCCTTGGAAAAGACCTTGCCGACAGGGTTGTCTGTGTCTAGTAGTCAGCACGATGCATTGAACGCAAGGGGAGAGATAAGGACGGACGCGGTGTGTTGAGGACGATCATCTTGGTCTTGGGCGTGATTGCGCGCTCAAGCTCGTCGAAGTCGATGGTCCAGTTGGCGGCAGATGATGTTGCCGTAGCACCGTCCGTGGGGGGATGCAGGGGAACATAGGTGATCTTGCCGCCGGGCATCTCGATGTTGCTGATATACCTGGTCAAGAGTAAGCATCACGTCTACTTTTCTGTCGCAAACAGCCTCGGACTACGCTTACTGGTCGAAAAAGGGCTCAAAGACAATAACCTCATCGCCGGGCTCAATGAAAGCCATGAAGGCACTGAGCATGCCTGAAGCGCTATTAGTCCGTCGTCTCCAGGCAACATCTCTCTCCCGTGAGTTGACTCTCACCCTCGTTTGCGCCGGTGGTGATGGTGACCTCGGTCTCAGGGTCCAGCTTGCGGCCCCAGTATGGGGAGTAAGCATCGGCGATCGCCTTCTTCAACCTTGGGCGGCCCTTGGTAGGGCTGTACTGGTTGCACTCAACCCGGTCCAGCGCCTGCTTCGCGGCATTGAGGATGAACTCGGGCGGGTTGTAGCCGAAGAAGCCCTGGCCCATGTTCACAATGGGCTGTTTGGGCGAGGCGGCAGCGGCCTCGTTGATGATGGACCTGGTTGTCCCAGTCAGTAAATGGCTCATGCAGTCTCGTCTTTGGGGTTCAGAGAGAGTCACAGGGCACTCTGTCGTTGCACTGTTTCTCAACTCTCATGAACAGGAAACTCGGATACACACCATACATCCTGTCGCCGGCCGGCGACACGGGCCGCGGGCTTGATCTTGCTGCTGAGGGTCATGGTGCTTGAGTGGAAGCCTCTTCTGGCGGTGCTGCTGATTGTGATGCGCGACCGGAAGAGAGGGCGGACGAGGGAGTTCATGGACGTAGGAGAGCAGTTGATGAGAAATCGGAGCGGCACGGAGGATTTGAGTCGAACAACCCTCTCTCAGGACTCGATTAGACCAGGAGAAGCTCCGAAAATTGGCTGACGCTGATTGCTTGTCTGCACGTCAAGACCCATTCCCGTCTGGAGCGTTAAAATGGCGTAATCGGCCGTCCCGATGTTCGGGGCTTCGCTCTGCAGCGGGGTGAGCCGGCCTAATGCGCTTTTTGGCGGGGTAACAAACACGTTCCTCCTGTCTTATGTAATGACTGGACCCTGACCCGGAGTTTCTCCGGCCGAGTTGGAGTCTGACCCCACAACGTCATTTTGCAGCAGCTTACCCCAATTTCTGTTGCTTCGAAACCACACAGCTACCACACATGCTTAGTCTCTGGCAACTGTTTGTTATGCACAACACCTATTGTTACCTCTTCTTGAAACTCTTCCAGAAACCAATTAAATGAACAAAGATTCCTTTCAGTCAGTGTTTGCCTGGTTCATGTACTTGCCCCGGCGGGTGAAGAGAATGAATGTGAGACAAGCTTGTTGTCACTCCATGAGTGTAGACGTGGGGATATTATGGGTGTATGGAGAGCCATCAGTACTACACTGTAGTGACTCTCACCGAGAAAAGGGTCAACCACCGTTCCGTATCTCTTTTGTTTGACTTTTGCCTGATGCTCTTTACCTCACTTTTCTTCTGTTATCTTTTGATGGTCCTTCACGATGTCGCCGTAGTATCCGCCTGGAACCATCACGGTCTCCATCGTCTATCAAATCCGAAACGGCTACCAGAAAAGTAATTCGATATAATCGTTAGTGCCACCAAGCGAATTCTCTCCATGAAAGACACGTTATCATTCATGTGTTGGCCGCCAATCTTCATGAGGAAAGCTCATTCTCGTATGACACCTTTGTCAATGTTGCCTCACTATTGCTCTTTGCCTTGGGTTGTTTTACTCGCTCTTATTCGTCGCAAATGATATCTCTATTTAAGTTCGCAATACTAAGTTTTGTTAAGGCGTGCACCTGCAACTTTGCTCCTAGCATACAGACGAGGACGAAGAAGATTGAGAACGACCAAACAGCGGATAAGTACGATAACACATACTTACAAAGGATACAAAGAAAACGTTTCCGATGCGCTGGATCCGACGCAGTTTATCCACTGTAGTTTTTAATATAGCGCACCAGAGCTTTTTTGGTCTCTGTTGACGAAGACGATGTACGTTCTTGGAACAATCATCAAATCTCATGCCGAGAAACTGGTTTCCCCTAATCGAAAACAAACCAGCATATTGTATGTAACCTGAAGCCCAGAATTTCATTGCACAGTTCACGGGCAACGAGACAGCAGATGCGACGAACACGTTTATTTCGTTTACGATATGTGACATGAAGTATGTGCGGTTTCCGGCTTTGCCAGAATTTTGTGATAAGTAGACACAGTGAAGGGACCCGCCTGGGGGCGAGATAAGAAAGAAGATAATGAAATACAGGCGAACTGAAGGGAAGTACTCTCTAGCCCAAAGAGTAGGCCTGTGAGATTTCTGCCTTTCGAATGAGGTATCGATACCCGATTGTCGGTATTTGACACCTTCAAGAGGTCCAGCCAGCGACAGCCTCTTATTTGCCCGAGACGGTGTACTTGGAGTTTCCGGCAGCATTGCCCCAGCCCTCGGTGGAAATGGTCTGGTAATTCATGGTGCCGAGCGTCATGCCAAGCTTCTGCCAAGCAGCGACGTGGTTGGCGAAGGTGATGGTACCGCCGTTCGGGCGACCGCTCTTGCGAACGGAGATGTACTGGGTGAAGGTGGTCGTGCCCTGAATTGAGGGCTGGTTGACCTGCGTATGCTTCCAGATGTCGTACTCAGATCCGTCGCTCGTGAGCGATCCGACCTTTGTGCCCTGCGCGGCACCCTGGCCGTTGCTGTACTCCTGGACGTAGTATTCCACCAGCGGGCCGGTAGCCCAACCGTACAGGGAGACCAGAACAGTGCCACCAGTGGCCGAAGTCGAGCCGGAGAAGGTGACGGCTCTGTGTGGGGTGAATTAGTCAAGATGAAACAGGTAGACTCGCAGAATCAGGTGGTTAGGTCTTACCTGGTCTTGGAACCCGTGTTCCAGCCCTTACCGACCACAAAGTCTTGGGCGGCCGAGAACTGTACAGAGTATCCGTTGCTAGTAGGGCTAAAGTTGACGTTGCCGCTTGTCTTGTAGTTCTGAGTGTAGTCCTGGCGGCGGGCAAGGTTGGAGCCGCCCAGCTCGAAATCAGGAGCGTCAGGGTTTGCGACAGGGGATGCGAAAACGCTGGTGAAGAACGAGACGGCCAAGGCCAAGTGAGTGAAGGTGAACGCAACCATGATTTCGGTATTGACTAGGAAGCGCCGGGAAGCAGTGGTTTGGTGGTTCGATGAAACGATTGACTGATGATGCTGGTGATGAGGCTAAGATGGGGAAACATGGGAGAACAACTCAAGCTTTTATAACCATCTCATAGCTAGTCATAAACACTGGTCTCACCTTCGTCCGTGATGCACTTCATTGGTTTAACCGGAAGGTCCCACTGTTGGCCCGCGGCAATCTATCGAAGATCGCTGTGACACATTAATCCACGAACAAGTAAATCACCGACGCAAGCTTTTGCCGAGCCTTGGCCACGTTCTTGACGCGCTGCGTATGCCCTGATCTCACCCTCGCATGCGGTACAACTCATGGCTTTAACCGGGAGGTTCCACCAATGCCCCTGCGACAATCTATTGAAGATCGCTGTGAAACAGCATCACAAAGGAGGAAATCATGGAAACAAGCTTTCGCCCAGGCTGGGCATGCTGTGGATACCGATCCCCGCATCCGGCTAAATGCACGCTGACATGCGATGAACAGCAGGACAATCTAAGGGGACCAGGATACTGGCAAGCGTACTCTTTGACGTCCTCGAAGGTCTATAGCATACGATGCATGAGATTACCGACGTGTTCGCCACTGAGCGTGGCTTAGTGAAGTCGCAGTACGGGGGTTCATTACGCCTTCTCGCCCCCTACAATCTCGGTCAAAAGATCTCCACCTCACCTACCAACAGACCCGGCCAAGTCTGCTGTGTACACCGACTGTAGACTGGATGACGAGTCTGGAAGCGAAACAGACCACTAGTCGATTCTGGAGAGAAATGTGTAATTAGCCAGGCTCATAAATCAGACCATGCCCTCTCAAAATTATGTCTGCGTCAGGCCCACAGTGCACAAAATTCTCCGAGTCCACTATAACGAAGTCGTCGGCATATACATCGCTCTCGAAGACAATTGGGCTATGATTCAAGTATAGAGAGCAACGTGTATTTAGGGGGTCTGGTCAGTCGACCAGGCCCCCTAAACCACACCATCAACCCTCGGAGTTTCATGCCTCCGTCAAGCCCCGCTCGAACCGTTGCGGTAGATCGTGTTCCCATTATCAACATGGCACCCGAACGGCTCGGGTGCAAGGGTAAAGAACTCGAGTATCGGATGCCACGGCAGACAATTTAGGCACCGGATGGGACGGCATATATCTTAGGCATCGAGAACGGCTGTAGGCAATTCAGATTACAGATTGTAACCAAGCCCGTATTTCTTCTTTCGATTTGATAACAAGCCCTCTATCGTCTGCCTTTAGGTGGATTTATTGCGGGTGGCTTCATGTCCCACAGAAGTGAAATAGATGAAGGATGGGCGGGTGTTAAAGCTCGGAGCGCCGCGACAGGCAACTGGTGCCTGCGAATTGTTTCATCCCTTTTTGACGTGACGTATCCTTGCGCAGCACCCAAAAAAGCAGAACCCCTATTGTATCGAGTATTAGTCAAGATCAAACAAACATGTTGGGACGAAAGTCCGATAGTTTCGGTAAAAACAGAAAGAGAAGTGCAGAGGTGTGAGAGGTAACACCTTTGCTACTAGCTAATGCGTGCCTTAAACACGCCAAGACGAGAAATCATTGTGAGAAACTGAGTCAACAACGCATACAATAACGCTTCGAATGGGCATTCAAAAATCGCTGTATGGGAGACTGTGTTTCTCAACTGCCGTGACTTAAACCTGGAGTCTGACACACCCCTGCAAAGACAGGTTCTATGGGGGGGATCAATAGAAACTCTGACCTACGGGAGGTTTGTCTGGACGACGGGAAATTTACATTTGACTAAACGTCATCCCAAGTCTAAAAAGCTTAGGTAAATTATACATCACCTTGACTGAAGTAAATCGCGCCCGAACCTTCGCAACGCAAGATAAGTTTTGCCAGCTTTGATCAAATCTTCAAACGGCACTTGCTTGCCCACCTCAGGAATAATCCAAGCTCTAATCTAGAGACCGGCGATCTTATTAATTTGGCTGAAAGCGCGGAGGCCGTGACGTAAACACTTATCCTTACCCTCATAAAGAGGTTAGCATTGTCGTCAAGCCATCCCTCACTTGCAAAAAGTGCTTATTTCACTTATCTCAAGTACCTTGCCTGTAAACATTACAAATACCCCATCAAGCTTCGACGAGCGTCACCATAAGATCTGCAAGTGGCCCGGTTTCCCGCCCCAAAACTTTACATGTTGACCCAAGCTAGTGGTGTATTCAGCAGTGGCATTTGATGTGTATGAGTTGGGAGGGTTTTTTTTCTTCCGAGACTGGCGCAGTCGCTCACGACATTCTTGAGAAGCTGACAGATTTCATCAGTTTGCGCATCGTCACAAGTTGCATCGTACCACCGCCTGAGGGTCTTTACAATCTTATCGAGGTTGACTGCAATCTTTGGAAGCGTACCGCACGTCACTTTGCGCTGCTCTTGTGTCATGATAATATCAAGTAACTGTTCCGTCATCATCAGTCTTTGCTCGCCCCGAACAATTCGGTTGAGCTTTCAAAACCGATGTTCGGGCGCGTTCATGTCTATGTTAAATGCTGCCATATCTTCTCGGCATATCTCCACGAGCTCGTACCTCAACTTTCGCTCTGGTGTCATGCTTGTCATTTGCTCGAGTAGGGCCCACAAGATGATGCATATGCTTAGGAACATGAGCATGCCTATGAGCCTATTGAGGTAATAGTCAATTTTGAGGCTACTGGGGTGCATGTTGTGCTGAATTTTGTCTCGGTTTCTGGGAGTTTCGAGTCGCCGTAGGGCCCTCGGTTCCAGATGATATGTCTTATGTTGCTTGGACTGATCAGAAGACTCAAGTGGTGTTTTTCTGATATTCTATTGCAATGGCTCTAAGTTAGACAGGGAAATGCCTCCTGCGTGATCAGTTCCTAAGACTGGTCATAGAAAGCGGCTGTGTCCCTCGGTATTGGCATTGGATGATGTCAATATCTGTGGCAGATGTGGGTGGCTCATCGATTGGCACAAGACGGGTAAATCATGTGGTGTGCACTTCATATCACATTTGGGCATCGTTGTACTCATCGGCTGTCTACCAGAATGGCGAATTCACAACGCCTGAACACTTTGATAAGTAAGGTAGAGACTCGCCCAGTCAAACATGTGGCTCGACCCTCAGTCTCTGTGGCGTAGCTGTTACGGCGACTATATTGTGTGGGTACTGCTCTGCTTAAGTAGCTACCTTACTGTCTTCACAGAACCCGACATCTTGTTCTTTTCTTCCTCGGACCACCATAAACCCGACTTTCATGTCCTATGTACAGATCCCGAGCTATGCGATGTCTTTCTGCCATCTGGAGGCGTGCTTTAAGGCATGTTGCGAGGCAGGGGTCGGCCTCAAGGCTGCTACTGGAGATTACACTACTCATCATCAGCTACCTACCACCTAGGTCGGTCTTGTAGTTCGCTTTTACCTGTCGGCCATTCTACGTCTTCTATTTTCCCTAGCCTGTAGTCCTCGTTGCTAGAGCAAAGGAGGCACTTTTTACACTACAAGAAAGGGATGTTCTGCACCTTTTGTACTGCTCAAAGTACACCATCCTTTACCTATAGCGACGATTACCAGGACCTAGGCTAGCTTTACGCGTTCCTACCAGCTACCCATGTGCATTTACACCTTTTCAACTACCTACCCTTTGCGGAATAATGGCACAGTACTACGCTCAATTAGTTATAAACTGCTATTTATATAGGACCTTGCACGGTTTCCAGTTAGGAGTACTTGGTAAGGGTAAAAAGCCGTCTTATACACTAAGAGTAGATTTTAAGTACACCTGGCAACCACACATTATTTAATGACAAGCGCTTCCTGTTGATAAATCAGACGGTGTAGCAATTAGAAGGCAACTTGGTTAAATTAAGAAACTAGCTTGAGTATTATAGCGGGCGTATTTGACTTTACCGGACTGCGTAGGATGTCCCTTATCTCACCTTTTAGTTAACTAAACTCCCTTGCTTTGTATTAAAACCTGACAGCAAATAGCCCTCTTTTATTTTTTTACTTGAGTTCTTTGCTAATATGCAGCGTAACGTCATCATATTCTGCCTGGCATGCCTAATAGATGCTGAAATCAAGGTTAATAGTATGGTGCATGCGAACAATGATCTATTGAGATGAAGATCTAGAGGTAGTTCAAAGCATGTTGCTTCCTCTTTGATCTGGGTTGGGAAAGCATGCCGCGCTAGCCTTCTTCATGGATTCCAAAGCAATTCTGAGCGCAGGAGTATCCACTGGGGGCAGTCACGTATAGATAGAGCAAGGGCGACACAAAGCCGGTGGCCATGGTCGGGTGCATTCTGAATTCTACGAATAGCAGATACTAACTAGGTCACGGATAGGTGAGATATGCCAATTTCTCTACCCACAAAGAATCGCGATGAATCTCTGCGACTCGCCTGTCCAATCGATCCAATGGGTGCCGAGTGTGTAGAGTGACGACAGTGTGTATTTATATGTGGACTCTTTCATAGAGACTACCGGGAAGCTATAGTCAAGAGCTGAAGGGATATCGTGTTGATACTGAAACCATATAGCAAGTGATGGAAACATAAAAGACAGAAGAAGATCACTGGCTTGTTGGTTTCGCCGCACGGCGGTGGTCATTCAGACGACAGCGTAAGCGGCCTACAAGTGAGTGCTCAGGGAGATATTCGACTCGATTTGATGTCTCCAGCTTACCAACGCCTTGCAGAAATCGGGGTCTCTGTTATTGCAGCTCTGGAAGAATGAATTCAATTTGTTTTGGCGGTTGCTGAGAACGGTGAATAGCATGGACGGGCAGAAAGAGTGCAGTATCCAGACGTGATGTGCCGTGAGAGCAGGGTACAAGCATGAGGTCGATTGTGATAACGAAGTGATCATTTCTCGGACGATCCTGAGACCTTACCTTTTGTATAGCACTGCCGATCGATGTGTACGTGGCCGGCTTTCGTCGAATTCGGACATCGGTCCAGTCTTCAGTCCCGAGAGACAGAGCCACCCGTCCATGATGGGTCAACTTGAATTGTGCAAATCGGCTCTGATTAACAGCAGTGCTGGGTGTGCGATTATCCGACACAGGAATACGATTGATAAGTTGACAACAGTGAGCAAAGCTTCCGCTGAAGAACTCCTCACATCAGCAAGGATCGAAAGTATAATGCATCTCTGTCCAAGGCTATCCCGATGCATTTTGCCTCTCTACCAGACAGACGGAGTTAGTGTTGATCGTGCGCGTACTAAGCTTCCTCCCTGGACGCTGCAATGCTTGAAATTCCTCGAGAAACTCACATTCGGAGCAAATCCTCAACTCTACGCAGCCCCACCGCTTTCCAGGCCATAAGAATTCCATCTTCTCATTGGCCTGCATTTCCATACGACCTGTGGGACGCTCACAAGCTGGGCGAGACACAATCAATCGTCCCGTTCGAGCTAATCCCCATTCGTACTAAGCCCCGTGAGCTTGTATCCAGTTCGGGGGGGAACCTTTCTCTGAGTCCCCAAAAAAGTGTCCCATCCACACCACACCCGAACCAAACGAGCAAGGAAGCTGCATGATGGTCGTTTGTTGCCTTGCTTGTCTTGGGAATGTGAGGGACGTGGAAATGCGTGCGGCTACGCGGTAGCGCAGACGTACCCCAGCAGGCCAACCCCAATCCATCCTCCGTTTCTCCTTTCGCTCTTCCGACAATGCCACGCCTTTCACGAACAATCGGAACGGCGTAATCGAGCTCGATAGCGCCCACCGCATCGCAATGCGCTGACTGAATCTGTCCCCGGAGCCTCGCACACAACCACGCACACCCGCATACCATGGCTCTCAACTCTCGCCTGCGGATCGTGATCCCCATCGTCGCGCTCATCGCCCTCGTCGCCGCCCTTGTCCGCTTCCACGAGAGCATCGCCAACATCGACTCGCTCTTCAACCTCCCTAACCACGCGAAGCCAGACGACTCCAAACCCGCCCACGATGAGCACCCGTCGACGAACCCCCCGTTGAAGGCGGACCCGAACCCGAAGCCCAAACCGAATCCCAAACCCCTCTCTGAGCAGACGCCCGTCTACAAGCCCGCGCCGACATACACCCCGCCGCCCGTTGTCGACCCCTTCCCCCTCCTCGCCAACACCGACGCCCCTCCGCCGCCGATCCCCGCGCACAACGTCCCCCGGCCCGACCTCCACAAGACGTACGGCCTCGACCGCCCGCCGCCGCTCTTCATCGGCTTCACCCGCCAGTGGCCCATCCTGCTGCAGTGCGTCGTGAGCTACATCACGGCCGGCTGGCCCGCGTCGGGCATCTACGTCGTCGAGAACACGGGCGTGCAGTTCGCCAACGCCCGCGGCAATCTCACGCTGCAGAACCCCTTCTACCTCAACCATACGACCCTCCGCCGCCTCGGCGTCAACGTCCTCCAGGCCCCCGCGCTGCTCTCCTTCTCGCAGATGCAAAACATGTTCCTCCATGAGGCCCACGCCCACGGCTGGCCGCACTACTTCTACTCCCACCAGGACGTCCTCGTCTACTCCCTCGAGGACGGCCCCGACGACCGCCACCGGCCCGGCGACCGCAAGTGGGAGTTTTACGATGACGCTGACCGCGAGGAAGGGATGCGGCCCGCGGCGGCGGGCCAGCCGGGCTACCGCACAATCTACGAGAACTGCCTGCGCGACCTCAACACGACGCTGGCGCGGGGCGAGAGGTGGGGGTTCCGGTGGTACCAGTACGACCACCTGACGCTCGTGAACCGCGACGCCATGGACGCCATCGGGGGCTGGGACGCGCTCATCCCTTACTACGCGACCGACTGCGACATGAACGCGCGCCTGACGATGGACGGGTGGACAATGAAGCACCGACGGGCGGGGCTGATCAACGACGTCTCGACGCACCTCGAGGACCTGGCCGTGCTCTACAGGGTCCCCGGGGCGGAGGCCAAGTTCGTCGACCCGAACCCGCCGCCGCCCGAGAAGAGGGCCGACGACGCAACAGCGAGCAAAGACCCGGGAGGAAGCGCGAAGCCGTCGTCGAACACCACCACCACCACCACCACCGCCGCCGCCGCCGCCGCCGACTACTTCCGCTCCATAGTCAACGTCGCCCTCGACATGACAAACTACAAGTACCGCGACAGCGACCATAACCGCAACTCGTGGCAAAAGAGCCAGCACGGCGGCGCGGGCGAGCCCTACTACTACGACCCGGAAGGGTTCGCCGAGGCGTTTGAGGTGCTCGTCGCCGCGGGCCGCAAGATCTTCGAGCTCAAGTGGGGTCGCGGGGGGTGCGACATCGCCGAAGGGTACGGTTTGAGGATCGAAGACCAGTGGCGCGTCATGCCCGCCAACAAGAAGGACGACTGATGAGGATCGGTACGAGTCGCGATGCCCAGTGCGCGTTGTCTTGACTGGTTTGCCCCCTCCTACCTTCAGTCCATGAGTAGAATCCTGTTTTGTAACCACCATTCCGAGTCAGTGCCCACAACGTCATAGAAGATGGCGAGTAATTTTGTACAAGTAGTGTAATGACAAAGCCGGCAAAAGGGCGGTTGGGCCGGCCGGCGACACAATTCACGTTTTTACGGCCGATCAGAGAGAGAGAGCATTTCATGAAGATGGACATATAATAATATCTTGGTATTCAATGGTCGATGCCATCTATGCGGCTCACGCACAAGTTCTATCTCTCATCTCGGAGGAAGGACTTCCAGCGCTGGGTGCCATGCGGATACAGGTCGTAAGAAAAACAAAGAAAAGGTAGAACAGATGGGAAATCGTACACGTGCTCTCAAAATGCCCCCCCAATACGCCATACCCGTTCTATCTAGGTATCCCTCGGCCGCGATAATCAAATCCCAAATAACACACGGAGCGATTGGCTCGTTACAGTATACAACTGTATGCTTTTGCTGGGCCAAGGTGCTCCCACTCTCTCACAGACATATCGTTATAACAAAAACAAAAAATAAGATGCAGAAGCCCCAATTGCGAGCTTATGCCTCAGTGATGTTGCGTGCCAGGGCACCACCAGCCTGGATGTCGCCCAGACCGGTCTTGAAGCCGCTGGCGGAGGCGGCGACCTGGGCCTTGGGGGCGTACCCCGACTTGGCGCCGCCACTGCTGAGGACCTCCTCGCGGGTGACGTTGAGCTTGTCGGCGGACAGACCCATCGACTGGAGGAAGTGGACCGTCTCGGTCCACTCCTTGTTCTTGCGGGCCTCGTTCCAGCCGAGCTCCTCAGCCATAACGTCAATGACGCGGGGCAAGGCGCGGAGGGCAGACTCGGCATCCAGGAAGGCGAGACGGGTGCGGCGGGAGATCAGGTCGGTAGCGGTCAAGGCGGCCTCGGCGCGGACACCGTGACGGATCTCGCCAACGACAAAGGGGAAGTTGGGGATGATGCGCTCGGAAGAGACAGCGGCGACGGACCAGGCGCGGTCGCCGTAGTTGTGGGCCAGGTGGTTCGCGACATCAACGTCGAGGGAGAACTGCGAAATGAGGTGGCTGGGCAGGTGCTTGGAGAAACCGTGGGCACCGACAAGGGGAATGTTGGTGGTGATGCACTTGCCGGTGGTGGTGAAGGCGGGGAGACCGGCACCGGAGATATCAGGGAGCGTGACGGGCTTGGGCTGGAGCTTGAAGGTCGTGATGGCCTCGTCGACGGCGTCCTCGGCCATCTGGCGGTAGGTGGTCCACTTGCCGCCGGCGCAGGTAAGCAGGCCGGAGTCGGAGACGGTAACGAGGTGGGAGCGGACGAGAGATTCGGTGTTCTTGGCGTTGGGGTCCTTGACCAAGGGGCGGATTCCTGAATAGGCTGTTAGTTTTCCGTACAGTCGGTGCGTTGTAGGAACATGCAATGACTTACCAGACCAGGCAGCAAGAACATCAGAGCGGGTTAGGGCGGATTCGGGGGTGATGAGCTTGTTGACCTCCTTGAGAATGAACTTGATATCGTCCTCGCGGGCGATGGGCTCACGCTCGACGGGGGCAGCATTGTCCGTGGTTCCAGCCAGAGTGTATCCTTGCCAAGGCAGCACGAAGATGACACGACCGTCCGAGGTAGCAGCGTCAAGCAGACCGATTCCGTTGGGGCAGATGTCACCAGGCAGCATGATGTGGGCGCCCGAGGCAGGGGCAACAATGGGCTTGCGTTCGGGGTTGTCCATGCGCTCAATGGCGTCAGCGAAGGGGCCGGTCGCGTTGATGACACCCTTGGCGCGGACGGTGAAGGCGTCGCCGCCGGGAGTCATGACATCGCGGACCTTGACGCCGGTGATCTTGCCGTTAGAGTTCTTTTCCAGAGAGGTGACTTCGACGTGGTTGACGACGGTTGCGCCGTAGAGCGCAGCGGTCAGAGCGAGGGAGACGTTCATGCGGGAGTCGTTGTGCTGGCCGTCGTAGTAGACCAGAGCACCAACCATGTTGTCGCGGCGCAGCTTGGGGAAGGCCTCGAGGGCCTTGTTCGTGGAGACGTAGTAGGAGCTCTCGAGACCCTGGGAACCGGCGAGGAGATCGTAGGCCTTGGTGCCGGCCCAGAAGTAGGGGGTCTGCCACCACTTCTGGATGGGCAGGAGAATAGGCAGGGACGAGGACAGGTGCGGGGCGACGTTGAGGAAGGTCTTGCGCTCGTGGAGAGCCTCCATGACGAGCTCGAGCTGGGAGTAGTCAAGGTTCCAGACGGCCTTCTCGAGGTAGCGGACACCGCCGTGGACGAGCTTGGTGCTCTTGGACGAGGTGCCGGCGGAGAAGTCGTCGCGCTCGACAAGAGCGACCTTCAGGCCGCGGGTGACGGCATCGAGAGCAATACCGGTACCGGTAGCACCACCACCAATGACGAGCAGGTCGTACTCCTGAGCATCAGAGTTGTGAGCGCGCAGGTCGGCCAGCTGAGAGGCGCGATCCTTGGTGGAGGGGAACGAGGGCGGCACGATCTTGCCCTGGTTGTCGCGCTTCAGCTCCACAAGCGGCTTGTCGAAGCTGTGAGCCCCGCGACCGCTGAGGAAAGTCGAGTAGGCGACGACACCACCAGTGGCGGCGGCGGCGGCGATGGCGACGGGCCTTCTCAGGCTCGAGAAACGGGACGCCATGCTGTGGACGGGTCTCTCGTCTTTACTCGGGGAGGTTTAGGCCGAGTCCAAAGAGGACGAGTATGACGTTGTGTGGTAGGGAGATCGGCAGTCCCTGGCGTGGAGTGGGATAGCTGTAGCTACTCTTCTCTCTCAATGTTGGTTTGGTTGGAGGGCTCACAGGTTATGATCCTGGAAAGCAGAGGAAGGGGAAGTAGGGGGAAGAGGAAATAAAAATGAAAAGCAGAAAAGAGGAAGCTCAATGCTTAAGAGGGTCCGAGGTGAGGATGGTGATCGGCAGATGTCAGATTCCGCTGGGAACGAGAGAAAAAAAAGCAGGTAGGCGGGTAGCTCCCCCGGGCTGGGCCGCCTCGCTCACAAAGTGTGCGCTTCGATTCGTGGAATGACACCCCGAGCTCGAGCAGGAATGGCCCCGTTCGGCGAGATCAGAATCTTCCGTTAGGCTGGGCTGGGCGGACTGGAGGCACAGTACGTATGACAGGGTATATGGAATCGGGCGAGGGCGAGATACTATGGAGAGAAGAAGGGAAGAAAGGGACCTAAGAACCGGAGAGGCTAAAAGTAGATCGGGAAGGGGGGGGGGGGAGGAGGTACGGAGATACCTGGGTTTGGGTCGACAACCACGGACGGTCATGGAGATCGGAGACGACGGTACATACTCCGAGGACCATGCTACGGGAGAGAAGAAAGTGCTCGCTCTGGCCGGTAGCGACGCCATCGCATTGGATCTTACCCCCACGTGGTCGCAGGCGCGTCCGTGGTATGCCGACCAACCTAGTATCAAGTCGCCCTGCTTTGGCCATGCCAATTAGGTTGGTACCACCATGCCGTTTGCAATCTGATGCGCCACGGCATTGCTTTGCTTTGCATTACCAGACACTCGACCGCCCGCGCAGCTCATCCTCCAGGTCCGGGATGGCCCAAGCTGTGTGTCGCCCGCCCACGGCGCTGCAGTGACGGGTCGCTGGCCGACATGGTGCAGCATCGCGATCAAGTCAAGTCAAGTCAGGTCAGGGTCTGACATCATGGACTTGAAGGAAAACATGGCACCGAGCTCAGTCCGAGCTAGCTGGTAGCGCAATTGCGCAGTCCAGTCAGTGGATGAGCGAGCGAGATAGAGTCAGGAAGAGGCAACGGGGACCCGCTTCGCGTTCGTCATGTTGGTAACAGCGCAGGACCCGGTATGGAGAAATGATTGGGGAAATGGCCCAATGTCGAGGGGCCCCGGGGCGAGCTGGTCGCGGGAGAGGGTCGTCGGTGCCATCGGTGCCATCCCATCCGTGTGGTGTTTCCAGTCAGAGCCTCAAGTGCCACCAGGGGTTCTCTATGCAAGTCGGTGCTGGGAGACCGAGACAGTGACAGTCTCGGGTTCGAGTCGGTGTTTGTGAGACTTGTACCCCTGTCTCGGTGGCTTCGGTCGTCATCACCGAACATTGAAGAAAATTGGAGAAGGGGTCCTCCCAAAAAAGAATTGGAGACGGCGGTTCGCAGTAGAAGGAAGAATGGCTGGCGCACTAGCCTGGGTGGGCGTCCCCATTGGCTCCCCCTTCTGATTCCCGCTCTCTGGACCTACCATCTCTTTCCGCTGCCACGACGTTCGCGGCCCCTTCTTTCCCCTCTTTTCAGCTAACCCCCGAATGCTCATCACGCACTTTACACACATACGCACACACACACACACACTGCGGAGGAGTCGGCCTCGCTCTGCCTCGGTGTTCTGGCTCCGTGACCATAGCCAGCTTGCAAAGCACCGCTCAGCACCGCTGATGGATGGCACTCTGCACCCTGCAGAATCAGCACCAGAGCACCGCTGCCCGCCGGATCTCGAGACACGCATGATGCACGCACGCATGCAGCGCACCCGGCAACACCACCAGCATCACGCACGGAACGGAGGCAGAACATCGAGAGCAATCGGCCCGGCGAATGGCCCGCGTCTGAAAATCTCCTCCTGGGCTCCTCCCAAGTATCCATCGTGGCATGTTTGCCCACCCAGCGCCACGCCACTTTGGCACTAACTGTCCTTCTCCTTCGCCTGCCTCACACGTCGGCCCTTTCACCGGGGTCTGATTAACCTGGGGCTCGCCTCACTTTCCACGTTGAGGCCCGATGTGAGGCTTATCCAAGGGGTTTGAAGGGGTTTGAAGTGCTCTCAAGGGGACGTCTGGTTCATCTTAAGAAGCGGATGCCTTCCTCTCCCCAATGCGGACCGTTTTTGGCTCCCGCGACGGATGGCCAGGCCACCAGACGCCAGGCTCTTCTCGAACGAACTGTTGGGTGTGCATACGACCCAAGCACCGTCGTCCCAAGGCCGTGCCGTGCCTTCGAGAAGCCTTCCCCCCCAAATACCTACTACGACCAGCACACACCACCCACCCGCTACGACAGATGCTAGGCTCGACATGCCACCTCCCGCCAAGCCGTTCCAGTCAAGGAAACCTGCCTACAGCCTGCCGACTCTTCCCTCCTGACCCAGCTATTACCGCGCCCTCTGGCATTTCCCTCAGTGCCCACTCGACGGCCGACGTCCGAACTCGAACACTTCGAGTCACTGTACCTTCGCCATGTACCTCGACCTGATCTGGTACGTGTACGTACAGAATACCGGGCCCGGCTCGGGACTCAAACCCCTCTGAGAATGCAACTGTGGTAGGGACACCGTTGTCGTACCCGCACCGCATCCGCCCTACAGGCACACACCCGCCGTCCGCCGCTCGTCGTCGCCGCCACCACAATCCTCACTGCACATCTCACGGCCATGGTCACGCGCCGCAGAGCCACGCCGAACATCCCGCGCTGCCCTTGCAACTCGCGTGCGAAATGTGGGAGGGGGGAAGAGAAGGTGGCACACGGAGGTGGGAACACTGAGGTGGGAACACTGCAAATCTGCCCCTCGACTCCCTTTTCCCTGCAGACGGTCACGATGCAGTCATTGTTTTCCAGCATGGCAGCACTGGTTCCCTGTCTATTCGATTATCCAACGCCAGTCCCTGCACCTAGAAGGCCTCGCCAAACCGCTCGAAATACCCGTCGTTCCCCGTCGGTAGTCAGCCAACCCGGTGTTTGACGGGCTCGATGATTAGCTCCAGCTCGTTTCGAACCTCGCACACTACAGCTGCGCCCCACGGCATGTTCGTTCTCTAACAAAGTGTTAATCTTAGCACGATCGCATTATTGTCCCCAAAGTCAATCCACATGCGCTTCCGAACCTTCCACCCAATCCGAAGTATCCATCCCGGGTCCTAGGGTGCAGCTTGACTGCAACCCTTGTTGCATGTTTCTCTGGTCCTTACGGAAAACTAAGCCCAACCTTATCTGGCAAAGCGCAACGTTCGTCGGCTCCGGAATAAGGGCCAATAATCGAGGTCGACTGTCCGATGAGAGGTTGGGCGAAACCCTGGCTCGTTGGACTGTCATTGATCCATCATTGTCGCTTGAAAGTCACTGTACGCGATGTCGACAACCCAAGTCACCTCGACTAACACGCAGCAATCGTGGGCAACTCTCTACTCCGCCACGATCCATCTTAACCTTTTGCAACATAAAGGTCATGTTCGTTATCCGCTTCCGGGCTTTCCAAAGAATGGTCATCTGAGGTTATCGTACGCGGCGTTTCGACCTTTGCATCATTTCCCGTCGCCACTCCGTCCAATCCACCCACTCCTACCTTGGCATGGCCAGAAGTTCAGGCGACGGGAGATTATCCTCAACTTTGCTCATCTTCTCACGCTAGAGCTTACAAGTCGCAGACTGTCAAATTGCCGCAAAGCTTGACAACTCCCCAAGCCCACCCGAAGTCACCTCAATGCATGCGTTTCCTGCGTAGGCGGAAACAGAAGAGGTATCGATGAATGGGCAGTGCGGCCAACCGCGCATTGAAAGTCTAGGTGTGTGCGATGGCTAAGCAGCCAAAGCCAGCATGGCAAAGCTTCATTTCCGCGTCTCTCGTACCCATCGTACGCTCTTGTATGCCGTTTGTTTCCAACTCGAGCATTGACGATAGCATTGGGGAGACCAGGTTGATCAAGGTACGGTTGTAAACGGTGAAGAGCCACCGGGGAATGGCCCTCATGCTGGGGACCTGGACTGGGGGCTTTCGGCCTCATTGCTACGATGTTACCGAATCCACCAAACTATTGGATTCTAGCCGTTCCCAAAACGAATGTGCAAATCACTAACCTGGCCTCTTTGGGGCCGCTCACTGGTATTCTGGCCTCTCAGGATTCAGAGAACCCCAGCTCCTATAGCTGCAAGTCCAGACTGTCATTGATTGCGTGCAAGCTGCGCTTTGCGAGTTCCTTGCAGTCTGGCGTTCTGGAAAGCGATTCCGGCGGCGTGGGTGCATGCGGCCGGCCCCCATAATTTCCTTGGTCTCTATGGCAAAAATCGCCGACACGACGGAAGAATTCCCAAGCCAACAGGCCTGGCCCGCACCTCGGGCGTCGTGACAATCTTCCAGCGAAGTGGCTTTTTTCCCAAGGGGTCTCAAGGGTCCTCACGAACATACTAATTGTTGGCAGCGCGCCTCTTTTGTAAGTTCATTTCGCAACGTAGAAGCAGTTCTTGTTCTTGACGGCTCTCTTCCGTCTCATCACTCGTATAGTCATCGAACAACTTTTTGAACTTGAACATTGTGTGATTCGTCGCCAAAGATTACAGCTACGAATAGGACAAGTTGAAATTGTCTCTCCCAAGGAAGAAGGGGAGAGGGTGAAATAACCAAAGACCGCTAATCCCGCCCATATCGGCCATACCAGCACCCAGCACCAGCAGCAAACAACCCATTGCGCAGCAAAGTCGCTTCGACCCAGCAGACAAGCAAGCACTCTTAACAGGACTTGACCAACTCAAGCAGCGACGCAAAACGACCGCAAAAAGAAAAAAGACCAAACCGGATTGCGCCTCGATCGCTTTTTTCCAGGATGTTGTTTACCGTAAGGGGCAGGCTTCTTCCCGTTTTTGTTTCATTTCTTTTTTCTTTCTTCAGTTTGGTTGTCGATCAGACCTAACCGCGCTCGCTCGTTCTCGCGCGACCGAAAAGACTCTCATATCTTTCCCAAAATTTCCGAGTCGGTCGCCCGTCCCTCTTCTTACAAAACCCTTGGTATCATCCATCAGTTTCTGATTTCTCTTCACTCATGAGTACCGACAAGGTCGGGTCCCATGATTTCATTGTCATCATTCATGATAACGAGGATGTTGTCTCACGCACAAACACACACACACACACACATCAGAACACATAACAGTCATCATCCCTTTACACCTTGTCCAAGCGGTTCTTGTAGGTGTTGGACCAGACGTCTCGGCGGGGCCGGAAGAGGCGAGTGAGGCCAAAGTAGGGCGTGTTGATCGGGCTCTCGCCCGTGTACATGAAGGCGTCGTACAGGAAGCCGCCAAAGAGGGTTCCGAAGAAGGGAGCCACCATGGGGATCTATCAACCATTGCGTTAGTCACGGGACTCAGCAAAGGTGTCGCCACACACACGACGACCGACGCAACCGCCCCATCCGAAAAAGGGCCGAGGCAGGAAAGGATTCTGCTTACCCAGAAATAGTACCCACCCGCGGACCACACCCCAGGTCCGTATCCGAGAATGTACGAAACCAGGCGGGGGCCAAAGTCACGCGCCAGGTTGATGGCGTAGCCAGTCTCCCAACCCCAGCAGGCACCGATGCCGAAGATGAGGAAGAAGAGGGCCAGGGGCATGAATGGCCCGGCGGCTCCGTTGGCAGGGTCGGCGAGCGCGAAGATGACGAACTGGAGGATGCTCGACGCGATGATTTCGGAGAAGAACATGCCCGTCCGGGTC